TGGTTTCGCGAGCGGAACGATACGCCGCGGTCCCCGCCCCACCGATTTATTAGTCCCGTTTTATCCATCTCGGTAATAGCTTTGCCTACATAGCTCGCGTAGAAAGCGTCGGAAGGCGGCTCGGTTCGTAGTTCGATTGCGAACTCGTGAGAAACGCGCACACCATTTTGCTTTTCTATCTTTCCTGTCTTCGCTCCTTCATTGCCCCCTTGCAACGCGTTCGAGGTTAACACGTTCCAGCGGAGAAAAACATTGCGAAACAACGAAGAATAAAGCGAGCAGAATATCGATGGACTCGCCCGGCCGTCGTTTCAATCGAAACGACTAATTGACCTCTCGCGATATATCCTCCCCGCACAGGGATTTCCACGGCAAATTTCGATAAATCAATTTGCCCGGATGGCCGACCCCCCCTCGCCCGTCTTTCAGAGGTAGCGACGCGTTCATTCAAAAATGATCGCGCGAAATACATAGAATTTAGACACGAGTCAACGTTGCCGAATCATTGACCTATTTCTTCCGATATATACAGGATGTTTCGTAACTTCGGCAGCTGATTGTACGCCTAAAAATAATGAAAGAAAGTCGTGTAAATATATATGTCCCATCTGTCTTTGTTCATGAGATGTAATGAATTTTATAAACAGGGCAAACTCTAGTAAGCTAAGTTTTACCAGGCATGGTACATTCAATTTTCATAATAATCATAATTGGGATGAAGAAGACTCACGTGTTATTGTGCATGTTCGAGACATCAACACCAGTTTAGTTTAAACGTATGGGCAGGAATAATTGATAAATTTTTAATTGGACCTTTTTTTTCTTGATGGGAAACCAACGGGCACAAAGTACGTTGATTTCTTGAGCACGCGTTTACACGTTACAATATTAGAGGAAGTTCCAGTCGATGTTAGACTTTGTATGCGGTTTACGCATGATGGAGCTCCGCCGCGTTTTAGCCGAGTGGCTAGACAATTTTTAAATCAACGCCTTGCAAATAAATGGATTGGTCGTGGAAGTCCTATTGCATGGCCTGCTCGTTCTCCGGATTTGAATCCATTAGATTTTCATTTGTGAGGACATTTGAAATCTATCGTACACGCAACATCGATTGAACATGCTGAAATACTACGAAACAGAATTGAGCAAGGCTTTCGACAAATTCGAGAAACACCAGGAACGATAGAGAGAGCAACCAGATGAATGACAAGACGCGTGCAGGCTGGTCATTTCGAGCATCTTTTGCAAAAGTAATTAAAACAGAAAATTCATTATATCTCATAAACGAGCAATCATCTCCCGAAGTGAGTCCTACAAATTACGAAACACCCTACGTATATAATATATTTCAAGTGTACCAGCCCAAAATCGTATTCGAACGTACTCGAAAACGTTGAAATCTTCTAGATATGAAATATCGTTGTGTTTTTGTCATCGACATACACAATGGTGGAGAAACATAATAGATTTCAATCGGATACCCTGAGACGAAGGATCTTTCGAATGCACTTGCCTCTGACAACTTCGGACAGTTCTTGCCAGGGCTGTTATTTCTGAATAGAAGCAAACGCATTTGAGATATTTTTTAAACGACGAACAGTTTCGGAGACGATTGCATTTATAGATTGAAACGAGAACACATGTACACTCCCGTGCACAAGTCACCGAACAGTACGACAAAATATGGGGGTACGGGCAATTATATTCGACGAAATGATTTATTTTATGAAACGAAATTACTACTCATTATATATGCATAATATCTAGAAGTCGAGCAGTTTTTAGGTCAAAAATCTTACCAAGTTGCATATAACGTGATCTTATATATCTTTGTGCAAATACGACGGCTGGAAATAACCGTGGCACATGCTTTCTTATAATACAAGTCTTTTCATCGATTTTGCACACATTTCTGAAATCTTCTGTCCAATTCACCCCATAATTCATCGATTGGATTTCTTAAATATATATATATACACATTTTTGGTATATTTCGAAATATTTATTCAGACCATATATATACGTAAAACATCAGTTTTCAGGTATTGTTATAAAACAGAGTAAATAGAGTACGTATAACACGGCTGTATAATAAAATTAACCCAGAAAGGTATATCTGTGTCTTCTAGCAATTCTATTTAGCTCAACATAAGCAAGTGTCTGGTGACTTATGGACTGGGAGTGTATATAGGTGGATAAATATTTAAAGACGAGCGTACATACATAAACGTAAGATTGCTACGATTTCCTGACTTTCTTGTTAAGCAATCCTACGTGACAAAGTTTCGACAAGTGCGGATTAGCCACCTACCGATTTCGGATGGCTGTCGCTGCTGGACAGTTTGTCAGTTGAGCGTGGCTAAAGAGAGTAGTTGAGTACGTACGTAAGTAAATAGAGTGGTTACTCGTGACGGGCGTAGGTACCAGAAAGTCCAGAAAATCCAGAAAGCTGCAAGTGAAAACGGCTGCGCGAAACGAACGCGTGATCCCCGTGGTACCGATTCGGCGGTCGGGTCGAAAGAAAGAAAGAAAGAAAGAAAGAAAGAAAGAGGGAAACGGACGATCGAAATTTACGAAATTACGACGACGCTGTAATTTAATTACTCGTCATTTCGCGAATTGCCCGCCATTCCTGCTCTCGCTTGTTACCTGCTCGTTATTGCACGAAGTTTGCGAGAGACCACTCTGCTGCGAGGCTGGGCTGCAACAGCGGGGACCGCGCAACAACCAACCCGATAATAATTGTAATAATTTCGATAAAAGTTTACCAGAGCTGGTAGGAGAGAGTGCAACGGGCGTGGTTTCGAAAGGGAGAAAGAGAGCGAGCGAGAAGGGGGGTGGCGGGAGGGGGGAGGGGGAGGAAGAGGGGGACAGCGAGCGGGATTGAAATGAAAAATGAGCAACTCGTTGGTACGGCATCGCACGCGCGTTAATACGTCGGATTCGAATGTCTCGCGTTAATAAAACCACAATGAGACGTCCGTTATTAAAATGGGGAAAAACTGGCGAAACGGGAAAATAAAAACGGCGAAGAAAAGTGAAAAAAGACGAAAAGAGGAGAGGGGAGGGGAGGGGAGGGGAGGGGAACAAAGAAGAAAGGAAGGAATGGATCGAGTGAAAAGAAAGTACAGAGAGAGAGAGAGGAAGTGAAAGAAGAAAAAAAGAAGGAGAAGAAGAGGGTAGAAGAAGAAGAAGAAGAAGAAGAAAAAGAAAAAGAAGAGGAGGTGGAGGAGAAAACGAGAAAAGAGGAGCAAAACGGAACGTTAGACAAAACACGCAGAGAGCATGAACGCGCATTCACGTGCATCGAATCGACCGGTTCTCTGGATGCTCGTGGACGACCGCGTGCGTGTTACCGGCGTTCGTCATCGATCTACGATGCCGGGCCAGAAGAATGCACGCGGCCATATCGTTCCGCTTCTTCTAACGAGCGATTATTCGTCACACGTTCCATCTTATTATCCTTTGTGCGGTGTAGACGAGCGAGGAGTGAGTCATTTCTTTAAACTCGTTAACTCGTTACAAGCCAGCAGCTTCGAGAGAGAGCTCTCCTCCTACCCTTCCTACCCTCTCCTACAACCCTCCTACCCTCCTCCCACCCTTGTCACCCTTGCGCTCGGTGTCCCGTTCTGTTCGTGTGCAACCAGGCCGGCCTGGTCGATCATCCTATATATATATATATATATATGTATATGTAGTACAGAAAAAGAGAGCGAAAGAGCGCGCGCGAGAGAGAGAGAAAGAGGGTGTTTTCGCGTGCACGCGGAATCGTGCAAATGACAGTAGTAGCAACAATAGTATCAATAATAATAATAATAATAATAATAGCAATGATGGGGCGAGGGAAACGTGGCACGTTGGAGGTGCGAGGAGAGAGATGACGCGACGATGACGAGAACGCGACATGTGTAAACACGTAGGAAGCGAAGGGAAGGGAAGGGAAGGGAAGGGAATGGAAGGAAAGGGAAGGAATCGCGGGGCCTCGAAGAGTTTCGATGCGAGGTTGGCTCGGTGTGTGCTCGAATGCTGGCAATCGTTGAAACTCGGTTGACGTTCCCTCGGTCGTTCCTTCGCGGCGTGGCGTGGCGTGGCGTGGCGTGGTGTGGCGTGGCGCGGCGCGGCGCGGCGCGGCGGTTCGGCGCTTCGGCGCTCTAGCCGAGAGTTGCCGCGGCGCGTTGCGCCGACCGATCCGATGACGACAGAGACAGAAGAAACGAAAGACTCGCGTTTCAGACAGAGATGGACGCAAAGAGAGAGAGTGAGAGAGAGAGAGAGAGAGAGAGCGACGAGGGAGGCCAATGGTGAAGGAGCGAACGAGCGAACAAGCGACGAGGAGAAAAGTATCTGGGTGGACGGACGAGCGAGAAAGAAGAGGAGAGACACGCCCTGCTGCAGGTCGATAACGGAACCGACGTATCCTCCCGTGGCTCTCCGGTACTCTCCGGTAGCTCTTCTTGCTCTCCCAACCACCACCACCTTCTCACCGTCGCTTCTTCCTTCCACTAGCTACCCTCCTGCTCTACTCTCTTCTCTCTCTCCTCTCTTCGCTACGACTCCACCACCCCCTCGCTCTCCGCCACCCCGCCCAGCTGCCCTTTCTTCCGACCTTCTCCTTCTATCGCGCATAGTCACGTACCACACCCGCCATTCTATCCGTGCCGACTGAGCGGACTTTGCCGACCGTACATACCTACCTACTTCATCGCCGGCGACCCTATACCGTACAGCTACGTATTGCCTTACCAACTCTTTTTCTCCTTCTCTCCATCTCTCACTATCTCTCTCTCTGCTCGTATCACAGTACTGCTCCGTTTCGTTCGTTTCATTCCGATCCGATTCGTTCCATTCCATTTTCCATTCCGTTCTCTTTCCTCTCGTTCCGTTCCGTTCCATTCCATTCCGTCGCGTTCCGTTCCGTTCCGTTCCGTTCCGTTCCCATTCCATCTCTACATTCCGCTTTTCCTTTTTCTCTTCCTCTTCCTCTTCCTTTTCCTTTTCCCTTTCCCTTTCCCTTTCCCTTTCCTTTTCCCTTTTCCGACTCGTCCTCTCTCTGTCTGTTCATGCAACTTCTTCGGGGGTACGATGCATCGTGGATCGCGTTATCACGCGCGCATCTAACCTCCGAGAAGTGGAAGACTACGCTTTGTCGGCACAGCGTGCCAACTAAGCGACCGAGCAAAGTGAACCCGGATAGTGTGTAAGTAAGCAAGTAAGCAAGTAAGTAAGTGAGTAAGTAAGCGACCAAGTACAGACCATCTGCCAATGTGTGTGTCCCGTGTGTTTGTACGCAGGCATCTGCCCTACCATCTCTACCGTGTCTCGCACGCGTTAATATACATATACGTGTATATACTTGTAGGTACTTACATATGTATCTCGCGCCTCGCTAGGAGACCGCGTTTCCTTGCCCGCGTGTACGCGCGCTTATGTATGAACTTGCTTGTGCGCTGCGCGTGTGCGTGCGTACCCTCGACAGCCACCGGCGCGGACCGAAGAGTGTGCGCGTACGTACGTATACACGCACGACTCGTCGAGAGATACGTATCATCGGATCGAACGACGACGGTAGCCAGGGAACCAGAGCAGCCAAGTCCCAACGCCTCTCCCTTCTTTTTCTTGCCCCATCCCCCTTTCTTTTTCTCTTTTCTTCCCTTTCTTTTCTTTTCTTTTCTTTTCTTCTTTTCCTTTCTTTTTTCTCGGTCGCAACGTCAACCCAACGAGTCAACCCAACAGCAAGGGGGAAGAAGGTGGCCTCCGGGATCCTTGTTTTCATGCCGCTCCCTCTCTCTCTCTCTCTCTCTCTCTCTCTCTCTCTCTCTCTCTCTCTCTCTCTCTCTCTCTCTTCTCCGTTTGTTCCTTCGTCCAGTCGATCGCTCCCCGATCTGTTTCCACGACCATCTCACCATTTCTCGCTTCAAGAAAAGCTCGACCACGCACGCTGAGAAACGGACGGCGAGGAACCAGCCACGTACCTAGCATAGCACGTACACTTCCTTCGACTTTCGAAGAACCTGTCGCGCGAATCAATCAAAGCTGCTCTCTCATCGACAACGAGAATTTAATTGGCTTCATCGAACGGACGTTTACAGGAGAGGCGAACCGCGCTTCGATATCTTCCTCGATCCTCAGCCCGATACAAATTCGCTTACGATCCATTGGACGATCCGCAGAGAGATCGGGAGAGAGTTTCGACGAGAATGCGACGCTAATAAGCTCGATGGCCATAACTGGCCATCCTTGTCGTGACTACGAGTTAACGAGTGTCTCTAGCGACTCCCTCCGACCTACTATCCCTCCGAGCCCTTCTTCTTTTCGACCAGATGTTCCAGCCGAACTCTCGTTTATCCCCACGGCGGAAAAGAGACAGGTACGCTCGTCGCGATTACTCTTCCTCCTTCGCGGACCTTTTTTTCCTTTTTTTTTTTTTTTTTTTTCTTTCCTCCGCTCCGTGAGCAGACGACACGATGTTTTTATTTCGCGTGTGTATACAGGGTGGAAAGGAAAGTTTGTCCATGGGCTGTCGTAGATGAATTGGAACGATTTGATGGAAAGTAACATGTAAAAAGAACCTGGCGCAAAACTGACGAAACGAAATTGCATTATATTTCACAAACATCTGTTTTATTAACACATGGCCGTGGAGCATTCTAAATTTCTTTTATCGTTGTCGAAAAATCGGGCGATATCATAGTATAACATAGTATAAATATGTATATAGCATATACATAGTATCAATATAAACGTCACGGACGTATAGCTTGAGTTATACAATTATTATTTCTATGAAAATCAAATAACAAATAAATATACTATGGCAAGTAGTAAACAATTTACTTCACGAAATAACGAATAAATCGTTTAATCGTGAATAAATTAATTTAATCTTTACGTGAAATATTTCGTTACAAGTGTAATGTAACTTGTAAAGAGCTTTATAGCTTTAAAGAGTAACTTAGAAATCATGTCATTTAACAATTTCTGAATATGCCCAATTGTCTGTCTCGCGTAGAGGTCGCGTCGTACTTGCGTGTATTTGCTTAGCCGGGACTGGTGAATTCTTTCGACGAAGCTTTGGCAAAAAGCAGCAGTACAGAGCTCTCACAGCCATTTACAAGCTGTGTCGGGCAAAATTAAAAAATTAATTGCGTTTTTTCCTGACAGATGGACGTACGTGTATACCTCGAAACGTCGCTTTAAGCCGGGGAATCCATTTTGTAATCAAATGGCTCATCGTTCGAGCTCGTTCTCGTTGGCGACTGTTGTTTGTCTATCGTCGATGTCAAAAAGGGACACTTTCGTCTTCGTGTTTTGCTGCACCACGCCCCCCCCCCCGCAAAAGGGAAAAAAATAGCGGTGCGTAAACTCGCCTGTCTGACGAAGAAGCCTTGAAACTACGGCAGTGTCAGAATCAGTTTGCCAAGTTTCCCTACCGACGAGGACATCGAACTGTTCTTTGAAAAATGGGAAAACCATGGGAATCTTTTGTTTTTTTTTGAACGCGGAGTCATAAAGCTGCCTGAAAGATGACGAAAGGTAATCGAAACTAAATGGACAATATATTGTCCAAGTATATATAAATATAATAAGTGACGCACGTATATTTAATAAATATCTATATATATATATATATATATATATATATATATATAATTTTTTTATGAAGTTATAATTACAATTATAATAATTGCAATTGTATAGCTATGCAATTATAATAATTGCAATTACATAACTGTACAATTATAACAATTGCAATTGTATAACTGTACAATTATAATAATTGCAATTGTATAACTGTACAATTATAATAATTGCAATTACATAACTGTACAATTATAATAATTGCAATTACATAACCATACAATTATTATGATTGCAATTACATAACTATACAATTATTATATAATTGTATAACTGTACAATTATAATAATTGCAATTACATAACTGTATAATTATAATAATTGCAATTACATAACTATACAATTATGATAATTGCAATTACACAACTATACAATTATAATAATTGCAATTAAACAACTATACAATTATAATAATTGCAATTACACAACTATACAAATATAATAATTGCAGTTACATAACTATGCAATTATAACAATTACAATTACATAACTATGCAATTATAACAGTTGCAATTGTATAACTGTACAATTATAACAATTGCAATTACATAACTGTAGAATTATAATAATTGGAATTGTATAACTGTACAACAATTATAACAATTGCAATTACATAACTGTATAATTATAATAATTGCAATTACATAACTATACAATTATGATAATTGCAATTACACAACTATACAATTACAATTATTGCAATTACATAACTATGCAATTATAACAGTTGCAATTGTATAACTGTACAATTATAATAATTGCAATTGTATAACTGTACAATTATATCAGTTGCAATTATATAACTATATAATTATAATAATTGCAATTACATAACTATACAATTATGATAATTGCAATTACACAACTATACAATTATGATAATTGCAATTACACAACTGTACAATTATAATAATTGCAATTACACAACTGTACAATTATAATAATTGCAATTACATAACTATGCAATTATAACAGTTGCAATTGTATAACTGTACAATTATAATAATTGTAATTGTATAACTGTACAATTATATCAATTGCAATTATATAACTATATAATTATAATAATTGCAATTACATAACTATACAATTATGATAATTGCAATTACACAACTGTACAATTATAATAATTGCAATTACACAACTGTACAGTTATAATAATTGCAATTACATAACTATGCAATTATAACAATTGCAATTGTATAACTGCAATAATTATAATAATTGCAATTACATAACTATACAATTATTATAATTGCAATTATACAACTATACAATTATAACAATTGCAATTATATAACTGCAATAATAACAACAATTACAATTATAACGATAATTACAATTTATATCGATATCGTTCCTTATATTCTTCTATACATAGTTTCTCACGAAAAACTCGCCTTTCATTCGCACGCGAGAAAGTCGCGGTTACTTTTTACTAGAACCTAATACTACACGTACGTGTGTTAGGCGACCGAGTTTCGTACGCGAGAAAATTTTCCAATGTACCTTGCTAAAAATATCGAATCCAGCGTACGAATTAGTTTTCCATCCGCCGTTGACGCATCGTGTTCCGTTTTGAATAGCTGACTACCACACTGCCGGACACGCAGCACCTATCTACGTATGTATGTGTGTGTGTATGTGTGTATGTATGTATGTATGTATGTATGTACCTAGTTTATTAATCACGCGGACAAGTCCGTGTTTTTCCCGCGTTTTCCGATCGTAGAGACATTTCCAACGCGACGCGCGCGCGTCGTTTGCCAATTTCAAACGTAAATTGTACGCACGAGTCGCGGAGACAAGGGTGTCAAGGTGGCGAGAGAGCTTACGAGTTTGCCCCGGTTAGGGAGGGAAGGAAGGCTAGATAGAAACCGATTTAACCAGCCCAGTGGATGGAAAAATCAATCGTTTCATTTCTTTCTTCGTTCTAGCAACGCGATCAATGGAAATAAACGAATCGGCGAGCCGAGAGAGTGCGTTGTCTCACGCGACAAAGCAACGCCGGCCAAGCAACGTTTATGTCGTCGAAGGAATCATAGCAAGTGGCAGTATACATACACGTGCATACGTCTTCCTTTCAACGGGGAAAGGATGTTTGCTGCGTCTAGCGCGTGCATGTCCAACCTTTTAGATCTTCCGGGCCTCGTTGGCCAATAAATTATTATTTATCAATAAATTATTATTCATTCGCGCGGATGATTCGAAACAACTTTTTACAGTAGAACGATACATCGATTAGAAAAATATATTTATATTAATTCTAAAAATATTAAATATTTAAGAAACATTACACAAAGCGCACAAAGTGCTGAATATTGTTCTTTTTAGGGCAGTTAGCGTTGTTTATAAAAGATTGTCTAACAAATTGCAGCTCGACACATTCCATTTGTATGTTCATTGGCAACATATTCGGACAACAACCGAGAATGGAGGTAGCAAGTAGGCCAATCGTCTAAGATCAAACATATTTCGTAGTTGTTCGTAATTGGTCGCATTCGTAATTAAAACGCCTAAATTAAAGAAAAGGGTACGATTATTCGTGGTTGAAATTATTCGAGTAATAAAAATAATCCTCATTCAATTGTACCAATTACCGTTTATATAGCGGGCGTCACGAGTTGGACACGCCTGGTTTCGACCGTTTCCCTTCCACGCGTGTACGACACTCACGAATCAAAATCAGCGTCGTTCGTACGTTATTTTTCACTCATCGTCCCAGTTTCAATTACACCGTTTGCGTACACCGTACGCCTGTTGTGTCCCTAGAACGAGACGTAAAATTACATTTTATCCGGAAAGTATTGATTTTAGGTTCAACGTTGGTTAAGCACGTTTTGCTGCTCTCGGTACGAGAGCACCGGTATGAACACGAATCCCCGACTCGACCCGGTCGCCTTCGATACCTTGCCCGAGTGTTTCGACTCGAATTTTCAAAAGTTTCTTTAAAGATTGCGATTGAAACACACACACACACACACACACATATATATATATATATATATATATATATATATATACGTACAGTGTGGAAAGAAAAGTTGGAGTCCTTGGCTCCATCATGGATGAATTCTACACCTACGATTTGATTGAGATACGCGTAAAGAACCTGAAAATTTCATCTTGGCGTTGAATTTCAAAGTCAAAGAAATTTTCTCTTTCTTTCATTGTACTCTACTCGTCACGAAATTAAAACTTTTCGCAATCTGACGGTTCTCTTGAAAAAAATGGCAAAAAAGTTGTTTTCTTCATTGCAGACAACATTGCGCGCGCTGACAGCGACTTTATGTTTCTGCGTCACGTTTCACTAACATTTGATTCATCATAGTTGTAGCCTCAGTGCGACTTTAAATAATCAAACGATAAAACCAATTGTTAACATTATTCAAAATATATTACGTAATGTAGATATCCACGCGTCCAGAAACTATAAAGTCGTTGTTAGAACGCATTTGTACAGAGAAGAGAGAAGTTTGTGGCTATCATAGGTGTATATTCTACACTGTAATATGTACCTGTTTACTTAGAATGAGTTTAGAAATGATAACAAGCCATGTCTATAATTTCAAAACTTTCGTTGTTAATGTAAAAGTTATTGAAAACGCGTGCGTGCTAACAGCGACTTTATGGTTCTGGATCAACATTGGATTTGCCATAGTTGTAGCATCAGTGCAAGTCTAAATAACAAAATGGTAAAATACAAACTACTAACATTATCCAAAATGTAAACATCACGTAATGTAGATATCCACGCGTCCAGAAACCATAAAGCCGTTGTTAGAACGCACTTGTACAGTGTGGAAAGGGAAGTTTGTCCGTGGCTGTCGCGAATGAATTCTACACCATCGATTTGATGAAAGTAAGGAAACATGTAAAGAACCCGTCGCAAAACTGATCTTCAAGAAGGAAATTGATTTTCAACGTCAAAAATTCTTTCTTTTCTTCGCGTTGTACTCTAGCCACTACGAAGGTAAAACTTGTACAAGGAGCCACAGGTCGCAACCTGATGGCAAAAAAGTTTTTTGATCAGTCAACATTGCAGAGTTGCGCTAACAGCGACTTTATGTTTCTGCGTCACGTTTCACTAACATTTGACTTAAGCGATAGCCGTGTCGCCATCGGTGCGAGTCTAAACAATCGAATCATAAAACTGTCAACGCTGTTCGAAATATAGACATTACGTAACGTGGACATCCATAAGCGTGCAGAAAACCATAAAGTCGCTGTTGGCACGCGCGCGTCAAACATCGCAGTGTTTGTACTAATTAAGAAAGACTTTTTTTGCCATTTTTTCAGGAGAACCATGTTGGTTCCTTGGCAAAGTTTTACCTTCGTGACGAATAGAAGACAATAGAATGCGAGAGGAAGAAGAATTGAAATTCAAGGTCAAAGCCAATTTTGCGACAGGTTTATTCTTTACTAGCATATTTCCATCAGATCGATGGTGTAAAATTCATCTGTGACCACCACGGACAAACGCTTTCCTTCCATCCTACGTATACGTCGTGTCGTAAGTGAGCAGTCTGTCGATACCCAGAGCTTTTGAAACTAGCGCAGCATAAAAAATTGAGCGGCGCCTTCCGTCCCGATTTCTTGATTACGTAAAAGATTCCCATCATTTTCACCGGTGCCGGTGTGCCGGTGTTTCAGACAGCCGAGACCGCGTCTCGCGGAATTTCCTCCCGCCTTTCGTCCTAATCGAATCACCCGATTTGCCCCAAATTTCCAACTTTGAACGCGATCCCCCTATCCCGACTATCCCAACACGTACGTACATAGTGTACTACTACGTGTACCGTCTGCGTGTGTAGGTGGACAGGTACGAGTTTGCACGCGTGTGGAGGTCAGAGCTGAATGTTTTGAAAAATTGTCAAACAACATTGGTTTTAAGCTAGTTTGTAAAGTTATTTCGGACATAATCCATTTGTGAAATTATTAAATTACACCATTACATTGTATCATTAATTGTTATGAAGTATCTGTGAAAATTTGTTATTCTGTTATTCTGTTTAAAGTTAAATTTACCTTCAATTAAATGGTTTATTCATTATTTTGTGGAACAAATTATTTACCACTTTGCCAGCGTTTTTATTTGTTATTTGATGTTACATAGAAATCACTGGTTTTTGACGGTATTACGATGTTTATATTTACTATTATATTTATATTATATTTACGCTTGCCTACAGACGCAAGTATGCTCCGTGACCATATATTCACAGAACAAATATTTGTAAAGTATAATCCCGTCTCGTTTTCGTCGTCAGTAGAGAGATTCGGCTCATTTGCACTTTAACAGATGTCTCGAAATTTTGTTCGTCAACCTCATTAAATGTTTGAGCAACGTTGAGCCTTCCTGTTAGCAAAGCGAAGACAAATTTCTTCCCTGATGAATTGCTAGTTGCATGCTAATAAATTATTTTGATTTCTATTGACTACCTTCTTTCCATTGGAGTGTTTTCGTTTTATTGATATTCGATTTCAAGTGCTATTTCAGAGACAAGTATTTTCATTTATTATATATAATTTTATATATAACGTGTATAATTAATTATCTATCAAATAAACGTTATCTTCTCGAATAATTAATTCTTCCATCTATTATTTACCCAATCATTTGCAACAGCTTGAAATTCCTTTAATCGGCCATCAAACGAGCCACGTATCATTAATTGAAGTCCATTATTTGGCAATTGTCAAGTGGTCTCGACAACTTATTTACAAGTATTATTGTTATTCGAAATAAATTTCGGCCAGGTCTGGCGGAGACGCACTGCGCGACGAGAGGCGCGACGAGCACACAACGAACAAAGATTGCACGCAATCGGACAAATTCCTCGGCAAGAACTTGCAAAAAGCGAGCGTTTCGGCTCGCCTCCGCTTTCCTTCCTGCCTGCCGGCCACCACGTCGAACTGGCGGCATGTTTTATTCGTACTCGTCGAGTAGAGAGCAAGCACGAATATTTTAAAAGTAGGAGAACGCTCCCCTGCGTATTTATACGCGGTGGTGCTCGGTTCGTTTAACACTGGCTAGCGTTCAATAATTGCCGGTAGAAAGAATCGCGCACGATTTTCTCCTTTCTTTCTTTCTTTCTTTCTTTTCTGTCCCTTACACTCTTCCTCCCCAGCTATCTCTCGTTTCTACATGTACTTACTTTCGTTCGTTCGTTCGTTCGTTCGTTTTTGTCGAATGCATCGACGTACGCGATTGAAAACGTCGGTTGGCATCGTTATTGTTTCGCAGCGAATACTCCGGCTGGAAACAAGACAAACTACGTATGTATGTACATCATACGTGTACCACGTCGTGCACCGGATAGGGAAGATGCACCGATCCTCTGGCGATTTCCGTCTGGACATGGGCGAGCTTCTCTATTGACAATTAGCGGAGAAAATTGATTCGAGATAAGTTTCATTTTTCTTTGGCGGATGGCACGCAAGACGTGGGAATCGGCGTACTGTACTTTCTCTCTCTTTCTCTCCCTCTCTCTTTATTTTATTAACAATTGTCGGAGGGTGGGAAGAAAAGTTTGTCCGTGGCTATCACAGATGAATTCTACACCTCCGATTCGATGGAAGTACATATAAAGTATCTATTGAATTTCTTGGTCAAAATTATTATTTTTTTCCTTTTTTGCATTGTATTCTATTCGTCACGAGAGTTTCCAAGGAACCTGATAGTTTTCTTGAAAAATGCTTCTCAATCATTTGACACAGCGTTCTAACAGCGACTTTATGATTCTGGACGCGTGGATGTTTATACGTCGTTAACAGTTAATTCATTTCATCGTTTGATTATTTAGATACTCACACTGATGCTACAGCTATGATAAATCAAATGTTAGCGAAACCCAATACGAAAGTTACGAAGAACCATAAAGTCGCTGTTAGAACGCGCGCGTTCGTAACATTAAACGATTAAGAAAGGCTTTCCTGCCATTTTTCAAAAGAACTATTAAGTTGGGAAAGTTTTACCTTCGCGACGAGTAGAGTACAATGCAAAAAGAAAAGGAAGAAAATATTTATTATATTATAAATATAAAATTATATCGTTATCATTTATGTTATATTGTATTATATCATATTTACGCTTGTCTGCAAGTTGAAATGTATATCGGTCAATTTTTTGACAACGATAAAAGAAATTTAGATGCCCCACGACCATAACGTTAATAAAACAAACATTTGTAAAATGTAATACAATTTCGTTTCGTCGGTTTCGCGACGATTTCTTGCATATGCGTATTCCCATCAAATCGAGCGTGCAGAGTTCATCTACGATAGCCACGGACAAACTTTCCTTTCCACCCTGTACGATACACGGTTCGAAACGGAGCAAAGAACAATTTATCGAGATTGATTGCCGGAAGACGAGTGCGAAGGTTACGCCGTTGACCGAGAGAGAGAGAGATCGAGAAACGTTGACGCGAGTCGGTTGTTTCGCGTTCGCGTACGTGAGTGCGGATGGGTTCCTCGGTTCGACGTAACGACCGCACAGGCCTATTATCCACACAGACAGTTCTCCGTGACTCGTGCAGCAGATAATAGAATAGCGTAACAAACAAATCCAAAAGAGAGAGAAAGAGAGAGAGAGAGAGAGAGAGAGAGAGAACGGAGCAGCCGTTGTTTGTCCGATCTTTTCAGTCCGGGATTCTACGCGGATCACTGCACCCGACGACGACGACGACGACGACGACGACGACTAGCCGCTGAATATATGGGTGGTCGATAGACGCGGAAAGTCGAGTCGGTCGTCCGACTGACTACCTGGACGCGGCGTTTGCGGCCCAGGTATACCTACCCCACGGGTAGAAGGAAGAAAGGAAGGAAGGAAGGAAGGAAGGAAGGAAGGAAAGAACGAAACGAAAGGCGAAAAAAAAGGGAAGCGAGGAGAAAAAATTGGTGGTGGCCGCTGCGTGGCAGTTGGTATCTGCTGGTGGCGTCGGGCAGTCTGCCCCAGCATTGTTGCGGCTTGTCATCGCGAGGGGGTGCCAGCCAGCCAGCCAGTCAGCCAGCCAAGTGAGACGAGGGGTGAGACCAGGTGAATGCTAGGAAGACGGAGCTAGAGATATATAGAATAGGCTAGGTAGGTGGGCTAAGGGCTCAAGGGCTCAAGGTAGTATCAAGTAAGCAAAGGTAAGCTCGCAAAGGTAAGCTGGAGGAAGGCGCGCTGGGAGAGGAGCGTGCGCGAGAAAGGAAACTCAACGGCCAAGTAAATATGCGACAAGTTAGCATCCGCGTATAAATCTAGCGGCGTTCACGGTGACAGGTCACGCAGCGGAGCCCCCGCTCATGCCTTCTAGTTTAGATCGCTCGCTCGCCCGCCTCATCGATGACGCACGTACGCGCATGTTTCAGCACCCACCGTTGAGTTTGGGCACCCACAGACCAGGCCTGCTACACTCCGCAGTTCGCCGAATCTCGGAATTTTACGCTGTCGTTCCTCGTCTGTCTCGGCGGACGGATCGAACAATGGAACGAAGGCAACGGGCTTTTCGATCGAACGACCTTTCCAGAAAGAAGAGAGAGAGAGAGAGAGAGAGAGAGAGAGAGAGCTTGGGTTGCTCGTAAATTTCGCATTGCGATTAAGAATTGAGGGAAACCGTTGGCTCCGAACAACACGGGGGGCGAGGGCGGGAGAAACACTTGGAAATAGGATGGCCAAATGTCAGGAGAGGATGATCGCGTGCAGACGCGTGGTATTCGCGTAGTTGTCGTAGAGAACTCGGAGAGAAGCGTTCTGGAGATAGCCGGTAGGAAAAGTATTATAGAAAGCAAAAGAGAGAGAGAGAGAGAGAGGAAAGAGGAGAGAAGAATGCAACGAGGGCGACCACGACCACGACCACGACCACGAAGACGACGACAACGACGACGGTGGCAGTTTTCGCGAAATTACCGGGTTCACCGGCGTGGTAGGCTTAACGGGACAAGGGGGGATGCAAGCTGGTGGTAGGTTGGTTGACGGAGGTAGGAGGTAGGGGTAGGTAGGTAACGGCGCAGGTGGCGCGCTAACTCGGCTCCGTAAACATGGCAGTCGTCACGCAACTCGCAAAACCCGGCAACGATATCGCTGCTTTCGTACGAATACCGTAGGGAAACGGTTGTTCGAAAAAGGCAATGCACGCAATGGCCGACAACTGTCGTTGCCGTCAGTCTCGGCCAACTGATAAAACCTTGCCAGAGCGGACTCTCGGCACGTGTTGGTTGGTTGGTTGGTTGGTTGGTGGCGATACACGAGGGGCGTAGGTACGCGATAGGTTTTTTTTTAAAACGCCACGGCACACGTGTCGCGCCGCGCCATTCACGGAGATTTCTTTTTTTTACCGAGAGTCCTCTCGGACTCTGCCGATTTCACTGGCATGAATTCTTTATTGAAAGAGAGAGAGAGAGAGAGAGGGGGGGGGGGAGGGGAGAGGGTTGTAAACGGGGGAGGCAAACAGAGAGAAGGATCGACCTCGACGAAGAAAGATCGGTACCAAAGATCTTCCTGAGCGGGCAGGTCTGGCCTGGTCAGGCAATGCTACCAGCTGAGGGCTGGCGGGGGGAGGACGGGGGGAGGACGGGGGGAGGCGTAGCAGCCGTCGGAGGTCGTGGTGCAACACGGCGTAAAATTGATTTCATTATCGATAAGGGAGTTACCGATCGAAAGAGCAACGCACACGCTGCTGTGTTATAGGTGGTGATGCAGCAACGGCGAGATTACTACTATTTCGTTGTCGTCGAGACGAGAGAAGAGAAGGAGAAGAAGAAGAAGAAGAAGAAGAAGAAGAAGAAGAAGAAGAAGAAGAAGAAATCGGCGCGATATAGAGAGCGCAAAGCGTAGACATAGGTATATGAAAGCGTAGCAAGGCCGGTATATGTAAATGGCAAAGTTGGTAGGGAAGAGTAGTAGACCGAATGGTGGTACTACCGCGGCGAGGATCGGACGATGCAGGCCAATGTCCTGTCGGTTGCGCCTACACTGGGATCGGGGGGCGCGATCCTCAAGGCCGACAATTGCTCGGCTTTGTAGCGCCCCTCAATGGCGTTTCGCAAGAACGACCCATATAACGAACTTGACGCGACGCGTGGCGCCCACCCTCTCTCCTCTCCTCTCTTTTCACCCGCTCGCCGCGGTGAAAGGTGCTCTCGCGAATCTCGAGGACGCTCGACCGTTTTATCCGTGAATTCCCTTTCTCCCGAATCTCTCGCACGCCGCAAACCTCCTCGCGCGATCGACCCGCCTCGCGGCACCGCCGCGATACAACTTGCCCGATACAACGAGCAAACACCGCGAGCAACGCGGTCACCGTACACGCTCGCTAGCCCCCCGTGGCTAGATTCGATCACGTGTAAGGCCGGTAAGTACCGCGTGTAAGTAATTACAGCCGTACTTACATTCCGCGGGCAACCGAGAGGAAACTGGTTCCCAGAGAGAGCGTACACTGCTCTCTGCCCACTCGCGCACAGTCGATTACCGGAGCACCGCGGAAGTTGTACTTTACTTTGCGAAATACTTTTGCCTCGACGGCCGTAGCTGACGTAGCTCGCTGCTACGTGGAATGAAAGATTGAAAGAAAGAAAGAAAGAAAGAAAGAAAGAAAGAAAGAAAGGAAGAAAGGAACAAGAGGAAGAAAACGAATCGACGAACGATAGACGGGACCGGAGAAAAGAGAAAGAGACAGATTCCCACGTGTATCGAGACAACTATGCGCTTGAAACTTTACTTCAGCACTCGCAAACTTTCCTTTCGTCTCTCAGCTGCTTCTTTTGCTGCTGAATTCTTTCCCCCCTTCTCCAAACGCATCGGGTCCGTCGTTCAAATACGCGACAACCTCACTCTTACTCACTCGCGTTTTCAACACGTTGATCAACTAATTTGCTCATCCTTTCGTTTCTTTTTTTTTTTGTCAAGTTTGTGACGCGCACGTGCCTCGGTGTTAGCTTTCACATACTTTTTCCATCCCTCGAACGTAGACTAGAAATTTAAAGAATTTGTAGCAACGAACGTGTTTTTCCCAACACGTTACAAACAACTGCTATTGTGGTAATTACGACTGCTACAAGATAAAAAACAATTCGAAAATTGATCGTATTATTATTACATCGTTATTCGATGTCGCATTTACCAATAAATAAAAATATCTCTTGCCTCGAGATTTAAAAACAATTAAAGATCGTGGCATCGCAGACGATGAGATGAGATGGGATGGGATGGGATGGGATGGGATGGGATGGGATGGGTGACGCGCGATCGAACGCGAAACAAGAGCATACGTGGACGTAGGTTGCGGCAGAAAGGCTGGATGCAGCGCGCCGGTTTACGAATCTGTTAGTTGGCTCGGAGAAGACGCGAATATTCGCCGGCCGTTTGCCCGTTTGTTCGGCGAGGAAAAGATTTTCCCAAATAGAAACATTGGTCTCTGTGGTACGTGGAGCCTGCGGCGCGGCAGAGAGTAGGCGCATTAATAATGTAAGTGTGCAGATGGTGTGCAGTGAGTGCGCGGTGGCGCTGGCTAGGATCAATGTTCCGTTCGCCATCCGCTATATAGCGCACGTATGCCACGGCAACGTATACCTACACGTATGTAACGACAACGCCGGCCGTGCCAGTGAGAAACAGCACACCGTTACACACAGGTCATTTCCATAGAATATATTTGCAAATATTCCGATCAAACGTGCGATGGAATATGTATTTGAAAAACAAGCATACGTGGCGTAAGCACACGATCAATTCGGCCTGTATCTCGTTCGGATTTGTTTGAACGATACCGGCTGGAATACCCGGGCCAAAAAAAAAAAAAGAAAACAGAAAAAAAACACGTTGTAAATGACGTTTGACGAAAACGTGAAACAGAAAAAAAAAAAAAAAAAAAAGAGCAAACGTTTTTTCGTCGGATCGATATTGCGAAAGATGCACGCGCGTGCAAGTACCGCGAGGAAAACACGCGCGTACATCTATCTACGCGCGTGGACCGTGAAAGAAAAGAAAAGAAAAAAAAAAACCGTGAGAATCAACGAGCAAAGCCTACGTTACGAGTAGCGTGCACGATTTTTTAGAACGTCCACCGGCCGTACGTGCAACGTTGTACGTACCGTACGATGTTTTTACGCGTGTCGTGACAGCGAGGGAGGGAGCGTACTTTCGATTTTTGCCGGGCGACTCGCGCCGCAGCCAAGCATGTACGCACGAACGATCGCGCGGATCGGTGAAACGGTTTGCAGAATCTGAGGGAGGGGGTGGGTTTTTCGTATGCTCGCAAACGTGTAATAACGTATTTTATAAATTTATTCACATGATTTAAATAAATCAAGTATACAGTTAAGTTTACGACACGCGTGCAACCTGCGTCGTGGTTCACAGTATCGCAAAGCTGGATCGCAAGGCTTTTGTCGTATTTGTTTTCTCACTCGTAATTACGCCTTTCTTTCGTTTTTTGTCTCGATTCCTCCTTCCTTCCCTTTCTTCCTTCCTTCCTTCCTTCCTTCTTTCCTTCCTTCCTCCCTTCCTCACCCTTACGCCGACGAACACACGTATCTATTTTACACGAGGCGAGACCTTTTCTCGATATACATATTTACATATCGTACAATCGTATCGTCGGAACGGACATATAAAATTACAAAAAGTCATCGTCTATCTAATCGAGAAAATTCAAAATCGAAGCTAAAACACTCTCTCTCTTTCTACGCGGCGACAGAACGGTGTGTGTAAACGCGTCCGCAACGCAACGCAACGCAACGCAACGCAACGCAACGTATCGTTCTTTCTCTTACATGTATTACGAGTACAGTAGTGCTCACTTGAGCGTCCGTGAGCAGACCCTTAGATAGGGAGGTGTATTCTCCAAATTGTGCCGAAATATCGGTATCGGGTAGTATTGCTCGCTTCGTGCCAGTGTCACGTTTTCACGCTGCCACAGACGAGGTATATGAACTTGTGTCTGTGACAGGTGGCAAGGTAGCAAACAGTGAGATAGTTTCGATTCTAAGAATTGCTAGAGAGGGATGATAGCGACGGATGCTAAAGTGGGCACTACCGTGTGTATAGTCGCGAGTTTTGTGTGTGTGTGGGTGTAGGTGTCCGTGTGTGTGTGCGTGTGTATGTTCGTTTGTCGCTGTGTATGTACAATGTATATATAGAGGTACGTACGTCGATACAAGCTCGCAACAGTTTGCAACCTTATTTACATATTGCGTTTTCTTTCTCTTCCTTCCGTATATAATAATAGATATGTACACGCACGAGCTTGGATCTAAATCGCAATTAACAAATTATCGACCACGCGACCCCGACGCAAAAGAGATGGCACGCGCGTTACGCTCTTACGGTGGAAAGTCGTCGAGCCGAGCGGGGGAGGGAGCAGAGAGAGAAGAGAACGAGTCCCCTACGAACCAGATTCTCGCCAGACGCCATTCACAAAATTCCCGTCACACTTTGTGCTACGCGCGCGCGCAATCTGTTGGCCAAAGGAGAGAAGAACCTCCGTATATATCGTGGAAACTATCGTGGGGACTAGAGACAACGGCAGAGAAAGAGAGAGAGAGAGAGAGAGAGAGAGAGAGAGAGTTGTGGGAGGGAAGAAAAGAGAGACAGACCAAGGGAGATAAATCGAGGGGAAGGAAATAGAGAAAAAAGGAAAAAAGGAAAAGGGGAGGGGGGGGTGAAAAAGTGAACAATCGGTGCTTTCACCGACGAAACAAAGCAAGAGCGTGAACGCGTTCAAGAAAACGCGAGAAAAGAACAAGGTACCGTCGCGAACAAACATTTCGAAAGTAGTCACCTGGAATATATCGCACTAGGTATGTAGGTAAGTAGATAAATAGATAGATGGATAGATAGATAGACAGGTAGATAGTAGGTACGTACATACGTATATCGTAGTTGAGCTAATAATTCGCGCAGAGTAACGCTACTAACAACATCTCCCTCGTTTACACAGCACAGCCGGTGAAAAGGCGACAGTATCTCGACGACGACGACGACGACGACGACGACGACGACGACAATGGCGACCATCTCTCGAGGTACTGACAACGCGAATCGTTCGTCCGTTTGCCCGACCAACGGCTTGGTAACTTTGGACACTCGATACGCGAGTCAAGAATCGAGAAAATATATATTTCGTTTATCGACTGTCCAAAGTTGGAACGTCCAAGCGCTCCTCGGAGGCTGGAATCGACGCGCACGTGCCTATACACGCACGCAAGCACACACGCATAAACACACACACACACACACACACACACACACACACATATACGCACACACCGGCCGTCTCTTTTGCGGCAGCGAAAAACGGAATTGAAAACAAGCTAGAGAGAAGCTTTTTCGCGTTCGCGTTTATCCAAGATAGACGTGTATGTATGTATACGTATATCACAAGCAGAAGGGAATGGGCGAGCGCGCGCAAAGCTAGACGAGATAGGCCTGGCCGGTGGATGGAGGCGGCGGCGGCGGAGGCGGCGGTTGCTGTTGTCTCCAGGCGGTTCTCTCCAACGTCGAGTAGTCCGAGTCGATGGACGAGTATATGTGCTCGGAGAGCGGCCTCCTGTGATCGTCGCTGCTACCGCTGCTGACGGTGGTGATGGTGTTGGTGTTGGTGTTGTTGTTGTTGTTGTTGTTGTTGACGGTGGCGGTGGCGGTGGCGATGAGATTGCTGCCCGGCAGGGTAGTGACCACCGCCTCTCGATACGCGTGATTCACGGTTAGCCTCGGCTGCGGCGACGAAGGTTGCAGTTGTTGTTGTTGCTGCTGCATCGACGCAATGGCGGGAAGAACGGTGCCGCAAGAGTAGGCAGGCGGCGGCGCGTGTTGCAGCATGAGCGCCGTGGTCGGCGACGACGACGACGACGACGGAGACGACGAGTCTTTGAAGAGGGAACGTTGAGAACGTTCCTGGCCGCGTACGACAGTCGACGCCAGGTTCATCGTCTTCTCGCCGCCGCAGCCGCCGCCGTCCAACGTGTACGCGTTCGCGTTACGCTTGTAGACGAGCGGCGACGATTTACTCTCGACGGATATGTCGGGCACGATGGTGTTGATCGGCGAGGGTATCGCGTACCGGAGACGATCCCAGAACCTCTTCTCGCCCCAGGTGAGGATCGCCGCGGCGGTACGAAGGTACGGCCGTAGCTCGGGGTCGAGTTCCGGGCACGCGTGTCCCGCCTGGACGACGATCAGCTGACCGGCCCGGCCGCGGAGCGCCTCGTGGAGGGCCGCGCGAAACTCGAAACGAGACCACTCGGTCGCGAGGAAGTTGCGCGTGAGTACGAGGAGGACGCGCCGCGAAGCGTCCACCGCTTCCAGCACGACGGAGGTCGGGGCGGACGCGCGCAGCAGGCAGGGTAGGTCGCGATGATGCAGACACAGTCGAAGTCCGCCGCCGCCGCCGCCGCCGCCGCCGCCGCCGCCGCCGTGCTCCAGCTCCATCGCCAACGAGCGCAGCACAAAGTCTTGGTCGTTCGGACTGTAGCAGACGTAACAGTCGTAGAGACGTTGACGATCGGAATCCGGGGGACCGCAGCAGGCGGTCATCGCCGCGGCGGCGGCGGCGGCAGCGGCGGCGGCTGTTGCTGCCGTGACCGGTGGCGGCGGCGGTGGCATCGCGCCACTTACGCCGCTCGATTTGCCGCCACCACCACCACCGCCGCCGCCGCCGCCGCCGCCACCACTGCTCGGTTTCGCTCGCAAAAATCGCAACCCGTACTTGGAGTAGGCCCACGCGCCCACCGGCTCGCGAAACACAAACGCCAGCACGACGATCACCAGGAGAACGAGCACCGCGGAGAGCGTGGCCGCCACCAGTGGCAGATAGTCCGAGATCATGATGCTCTCGATGACGCCGCCCTGCGAAAAGTAGTCGGAACAGACGGTCTCGTTGACGTTCAGACGACGTCGGTACGCCGGCCTGGCGTCGCCGCCGTAGTAACACCAGACGTCGCCCGCGTCCACCACCTTGTGCGCGTTGTCCGAGACCCAGGAGGACAACTCTTGCAAAAACTTGCAACGACAGGACCACGGGTTGCTGCCGAGCGACAGCTCGACCAGCCGAGCGTTCAGCGTCACCTGCCACACCGGGAACGTGACCAATCGGTTGCCGCTCAGCCGCAGTATCTCGAGCGAGCGCAACGGCAGGAACGTCAGGTTGCCGATGAAACCGATGAGGTTGTTGTGCAGGTAGAGCTCGCGCAGGTGGGACAACCGCTCGAACTCGAATCCCTTGAGCTCGCGTATCCGATTGTCCTCCAAGTGGAGTATCTGCAGATTGTTCAGGCCGTTGAACGTCCTGTTCTGGATCGACTCGATCCCACTCGCGTTCACGTACAACACCCGCATGTTCTTCCGTCCGATGAACACGTGATTCTGCAGCTCGCGCAACACGTTCCCGTCGAGGTAGACCTCGGTCGCGTCCATCGGTATCCGCCGCGGTATCTCCTCCGCGGCCAAACCGGAACAGTCGACCGCGTTGGTGTTCCAGGTGCGGTCGTTGTAGCACTTGCAGCCGGCCGGGCAGGTCATCTCGCAGTCGCACGCGTCAAAGTCGCAGCAGTGGCAGAGGGCGAAACAGTGGGCCTCGTATCGGCAGAGGAACTGCTCGGACCTCGCCGCCGAGGCGGAGACGATCGCCACGCCGCGCGGCCCCGACGTCCGGCACATGACGTTGTCCAGGTCCATGATCCGCGGGTACTCCCTGGTCGACGTCTGATTGTTGATCGCCGGCAGCCAGTCCATCGAGCAGTTGCAGTCGAACGGATTGCCGCCGATGTAGAACTCGGGGAGGGCACGTTCGTCCGGCACCTTGGTCAGCAGCAACGACGTCAGCTCCATCGTCTCGATCATGTTCGCGTACATGTCCACCCGGGTCAGGTTCACCTTGTCGCGGAACGTGTTGGGCCGCACCAGCCCGATGTAGTTGTTGTTGATGAATAGGAGCTCGACGCTGTCCGGCACCGAGAGCGGCGACAACTCCGTGATACGGTTGTGACTGGCGTCCAGCGTCTTCACCTTCGAGTCCCGTATCTTGTAGTAGTTGCCCAGGCTCTCGATAAAGTTGCCGTGTATGTCCAGCCACTTGAGGTTGCCCGGTATGAACGCGTAGTCGAACCACTCGATGTGATTCTCCGACAGATTCAGCAGCAGCAGGCTGGCGATGCTGGTGAACACGCCGTTGATGTCCGAGAGGAAGTTGCCGTCGAGCCTGATCGCCTCCAGCCGCGAGTTCCTCTCGAACGCGTACCGCTCCACGTGCTGCACCTTGTTACGCGCGAGATTCAGTATCTGCAGGTTCGGCAGGTCCCAGAGCATGCCGCGCGACAGATTGCCGATGTCGTTGCCGATCAGCCGGAGCCCGGTCAGTTGGTCGAGGTTGCGGAACGAGCCGTTGTAAAAGTTGCCGATCCGATTCTCCCCGAGGTCCAACGTCTTGAGGAGGGCGAGGTCGCGCAACGCGTCCGGCACCGTCGTCAGCTCGTTACCGCTCAGATCCAGCTCCTTCAGGTCGGAACAGTTGCGAAACGCGAGCGGGTCGACGCTCGCGATCGCGTTCCCCGACAGCGTCAGCCGATTCAGCACGAACAGCCCGTTGAACAGTTGCGCGCCCACCGTGCGTAGCCGATTCTCCGACAGCTCGAGCGTGTGCAGGTTGTACAGCGGCAGGAACGCGTTGCTCTCGATCCGCTCGATCGTGTTGTTCCGCAGGTCGAGGATCTGCAGGAAGAACAGGTCCTTGAACATGCGCGCGTCGATCCGCGTCAACGCGTTGTACGACAGATCGAGCACGATCAGCCGTATCAGGCCGAGGAACGTCGTCTCGTCGACCCGGTCGCTGCCCAGTCGATTCCCCGCCAGATTCAACACCAGCAGCTGCTCCAGCCGGGTGAATATACCATTGGGCAGGTCGCGGAGCCCGTTGTACGCCAGGTGTATCTCGCGCAGCTCCCTCGTACTGGCGAACAGCCCCTCCGGCAACGAGTCCAACGAGTTGTAGCTCGCGTTGAACGTACGCAGCGCGGTCAGCCCTTGCAGCGCGTCGCCCGCTATTTCCACGATCGAGTTTCGCTGCAGGTGCAGCTCCTGCAGTTGACGAAGTCCCAGCAACGGGCTGTTCTCCTGCAAACGCGCGATCTCGTTGCGCGACAGATCTAGAATTCGAATGTCGGCGCGACACGCTCCTCCCTCCTCCTCTCTCTGCACGCGTTTCCGCCTTTTTCTCTTTTCTCCCTTTGTCGTCGTCGTCGTCGTCGTCGTCGTCGTCGTCGTTGTCGTCGTGGCCGCCGCCACTCTCTCCGTTTCATCGATCCTCTCGATCCTCTCGATCCTCTCGATCATTTGGTCGTTGTCGTCTTTGTCAATCACGACGACGTCTTCTTCGTCGTCTTCTTCATCATCGTCGTTGTCGTCGTCGCCGTCGCCACCGCCGTCGTCGCCGTCGTCGTCGTCGTCGTCGGACGAATCGTTGTCGCGTCGATTCAATCCAATGTCGTTGACGTCGCGCAAACGATTCTCTGTGAGGTTCAACGTCTGCAGATTGTCCAGCGAGCACAGGAGATTAGCGGGCAACGCTTGCACGTTGCTCTCGACAATCTCCAGCGTGTGCAGCTCGCGCAGACCGTGAAAAGAGTCCGGAGCCAGCTCGAGGAAACGGCTGGCACCCCAAGCGGCGTTGAACGTTTGCACCGTGAGCTTCTTCAGCTCCAGCAACGGTTGAAACGCGCCCCCCGGTATCCGCAGCACCTTGCAGCCGTGCACGTGCAGCTCGTGCAGGCTGGTCAACCGCTGCCAGCTCTGAGCGTTGAAGCTGCTCTCAAAGTGATGGACGTCGCTGCAACGTATCCGCAGCTTGAGAGCGCCGTCGAGAGCCGACGTGGCCAGACCGGTGATCGCGCCGGGATCCAACACGCGGACCGTGCAGTCCGCCGATCGCGTGTCGTTGCCACCTTCCGACAACCACTTGCACGAGGTGCCGGCCGATTCCGAGAGTATCGTCGACGCCAGGCAGAGGAGAGCCGCGTTCGTCAACGTGATAAAAACATACTTTGCTGTCATCTTGCGTGACGGTGGTTGCGCGCGCGCGGCTTTTCGGTCGGTTCAGAGCCGAGAAACGGACGCGATCGCGATCGCGACCACCACCACCATCACCACCACCACCACCACCACCACCGCACAACCACAACCACCACCACCACCACCACCACCTTCGCCTTTGCCTTTGCCTTTGCCTTTGCCTTTGCCGACACCAACACCACCCCCGCGAGATCGACTCTCAATCACTTTTAGAAATCTAACCAAACTATTTTCTCACCCCTTCTCGACCCTTGCTCGCGTACGCACACTCGCGCAACGACGGACCACACGACCACGACGACACACGCACGCACGCACGCATATACACGCGAGCGAGTGCGAGCGCGAGCGCGCGCGCGCTCATGCACCTCCTATCACGTAAGTACGGATCGGCCCATTTCTCTTGCCCTTTATTCGCAGGCCGGTGTCGAGGCACCCTGCCCTACGCTCTCTCGTTCGCTCCCTCCCTCCCTCCCTCCCACCCTCCCTTCTTCCTTCCTTCCTTCCTTCCTTCCTTTCTTCCTTTCTTCCTTCCTTCCTTCCTTCCTTTCTTTCTTCCTTCGGACCGCCTTCCTCTTGCTGCTTCTCTCCGCTCGCACAATTTTCTCCACCAGCCAGTCGACTTTTCCGCTTTTTCCCTTCAAACTCTTTGCCTCTTGCCGTTGTCTCGTTCAATCGTCTCTCCCGTTCCTCTCTCGATTCGCAATTTCTTCTCTCGTTTCGCGAACGCCTTTGTCGCCTACTCCCTTCCCTCCCTTTCCACCCTTGCCCAGCTTTCCACCCTTTCGCGCCGTACGGCGTACGGTGTGCCGTGTGTCGCGGCAAGTAGTACGAGCGCGCTTTAACGAAACGACGGCGAAACGAAAACAGTCTGTGCGAACCCGTATTGGCGAAGCGATCGTGCACCACCGTACACTCGCTTCGCATCAAGCACCAGCACTGATCCAGCAGACCGCTGACCGCGCATCATCGGCATTCCCGTTCCCTCGACTGTTACTCCACGATTCTCCTCTCCAACGACAGAGTGCGCCACTTTGCCACCATGTCCTGCGAAGCCGCGTCGCACCGCTACCAATAAGAACGCTCTGCAAAACACAACCGTCCCTATTCCGTGGGCGCTTTGCTACCTTTTCGCCCTGCTCTTCGCTGATTGGTACGCTTTCGTTCTCTCTCTCTCTCTCTCTCTCTCTCTACCCTAATTACCCTAACGATTGTCTCTGGCAAGTTGTTGGGAAATGCCTCCAACTTTCGGTCGTTTCCCTTCTTTCTCTTCTTCCCTTTCACTCCTGTCGAAATTCGAATTTACCCAATCTTCAAACTGTTATCGAGTGTCGAACCTGTCGACAATCTTTAAACATTTTTTTTATGGAACTGGACAAAAAAAAAAAGAAAAAGAAATAGATGGATTTTCTTTCTCTTTTTCGCGAAACTCAATCAACTGCGTAACCTCGTACGTTTCACGTTGGCACGCTCCAGCAAACGTGTCGAAACGCGTCGATCGTAAGCTAGCAATTTAACATTTCTCGACAGAGCGTCGATTGAAAACAACCATAATTACGCCGAACGTTGTCGTGCGAACGCCGTAACCATCCTAGCTAGGGAATATGTTTGAAAAGGTTGCGTACGTAGCGTCGCCACTGTCGCAATCGGTGGAAGCTAGCCCCTATCCCCTAGCCGCCAGTGACCAGTGTAATTTCAGCACAAGTGGGAAGCTTGCGTTGTACGTTCCGCGTTTTTCTCCAACTGGTTCGTAACGAGGAATCCGTTACCCGACTCTCTGTGAAAACCATCGAGTCCACGCTGTGATTGTCGAGTCTGCACCGCAAACATGAGATTCGTCCACGTAACCTGCGTTTTACTCGCTACGGCAATCTGTTGCGACGGTAAGTGGCGTTAATGTTTCACCGCGTAATGGCTGTGAACGCACGTTCGAGATATACCGTGCCGCCGCTTTCTCGCGACATTTTCGTCTTTCGTTGGAGACCATCCGAATGGTTTCTCGATTCGTCGACCACGTCTACGAACAATTCTTTGTGCGACCTTGTTACTTTGCTCTACGCGGACTGTGACAAACTCTCTGCAGCAACTGTCGTTACTCTCGCGAGCGTCGAATCTCTCCTTTAGACGTCGCGATCGGAATATTCGATTCGTACGGCAGATACAAACACGTCCGCGTGTGCGTCGCGTACCGTTTTTTCTTATTTTACGCAGCGGCACGTTCGTTTCGAAGTGTCGCATCGCGCGAAACGAGCACCGTTGCGTAGTTTCCAGAATACCCAAGTATGGACGGTATTATTCTAGAAACGTACGCGCACGTAAAGTCGCAACGCCGTCTCTCCAATTTTCGACACTTTCGAATCGTTTATTTACACGTTTATTTACACGTCGCCGCCGCGCGACGTTGCGTAGAGTTTTACCATTATATTGCCGTTTCACGAACACGGTAATCGCCAAACTTTTTGTCGGATCATTTTACACAGTTTACCAACTCGGACGAAACTCTGAACGTTTTCTGCACGAAATTTCGTTCTGTATCACGTTTCATAATATTTATATGCGCGTATACACACATATATGTATTGTTAATTTTTTGTACAGCCGCTGCAATACAAGGAGACGCTAAATCTGCCAATCAACAGGCAGTGGATACAATTAACAAGACCACTCTCGCTAAAAATTCCTCGACTACTGTCGTCCCAGCCAATGCTTCTGTTACTATTGCCAATGCAACCAAGAATACCACTGACAATGCTACAACCGTTGCTTCTGCCACCACCGTTGTTTCTACCAACGTCAATGATAACGTTACTGCTGCCAATGAGCAAAGCACATCGACAGCATCACCCGCTACTTCTACAACCGCGGCAGCGACAGCAGCATCTACAACTTTGTCAACGACAACCAAAAAACTGCCTATACCTGAAAACTGCACAACCACGGGTACAACTACAACCACAACCACAACCACAACTATAACCACACCTGCTACGAGCAATGCATCCGTTTCATTAACGACTGCAGTTCCAGCGTCGACAAATGTTGCTCCACCGTCTCCTTACAAGGAACGACACTTTGATGGACTTAGCTTCTTAGGTAAGTAGTGATGCCTTTTCTACAAAAACTCTTTAATACACACACACACACACACACACACACACACATACGCGTGTATGCTCAATGTTGTCTCGCGATCAAGCAAAAACGCTACTCACTTTCTTCCCATTTTCCAGGTGGCATCATTCTAGCTACGTGTTTGATGGCAATCGGCGTGCTCTCTTGGAAATCTTATAAAACGTACAACGAGCAACACTACCGCACCCTATGATACAGACGTTGCCATCACGAAAATTCCATTTTCCAATAAGTAAATGCAGTTGTTGGAACTGAAAACTACTGAAATTTTACCATAATAATATTACGTATTTTTATAACGCACTCAAGTGTCGCGTGGTTTAAGTGCTCTTAGTAATGTGATGTGCAAACGAGAATTTCGTTTCCAGTTGTATCCAGTTACAAAGACGGCCGGGTTACGCACGCGTTGTGTAGCTCTCCGTACGCTTTGTACGCTCGCACGCGCATTGTAATAGCGTATGTACTCGGGGGAAAGAAACGGCGGACGCCAGTACATACCACGTGCGAAAGAAGAGGAGAAAACCGCAGGGAACTTGAGGGCGTGAGAGCAAAAGAGAAAGCCCAGAGCAAATGTAGCAGTATATTACCATGCGCATGCGTAACTTGCGTATGCAAGTTGACGACCAATCAAATACACACATTCCATCGAAAAGATCAATTCTGCGGCATAACGAGTTTTCGCGTAATATTATTTCGCTCAAGTGAAAATCATTTCGAAAGGAGTACTCCCTCTTTTTTCTTTTCTTTTCTTTTCTTTTCTTTTCTTTTCTTTTCTTTTCTTTTCTTTTCTTTTTTTTTCTTTTTCCCTTTTTTATTATTATTTTTCTTTCATCGTATTCATTTGTCAACCGTTGTACGTAAACGCACAGTGGTCGATTTAAAACGACGGTGTGTATAAAAAGGATGATGTGTACACAGATACAAAGGTTCCTACGTGTATATTCATAATATAAAAAAATTATATATATATATATATATATATATATCTAAAGCGATTGAAGTTGAAAAAGTTTAAGAAAAAGTTCGACTAAGATTTGGAAGATCCGCGCGATACAAATAACGATATGGTATTGACGTACAGTGGTACGTCGTATTTTCTAACGTTATTCTCTTCGCTGTTGATCTTGTCGCGGAGATAATGTTTGATTATTAATCTCGGGTGCGGCGGATACTTTACGCGTGCAGGCCGTTCGTACGCGTAAATCGTGGATGCCCCCGTACACGCCTTTATCAAATAATATCGTTGGCGAGGTATCTCCGCGCGACTCAAACGAGAGATGAAAGTTTTCAGTTTCGATTTTCGTACCTGTTGAAAGACGGTAGTTGTATTACATTACGTTCGACTTGATTTTCGACGCATCACGAAAAAAAAGAAAAAAAAAAAAAAAAAGAGTGCAATACGTTGATTAATGTTTTACACGATGCAATCGTATTATATGCGTATAAATGTTCGTTTATATATATATATATATAGATTCTCCTTTTTTTTTTCTTTTCAATTTTTTAAAACACGTAACATTTAGTTTTCGTTCACTTTACGTTTCTGTTTTTTTCTTCTTTTTTTTTCTCTTTTCTCCCAAAGCAAGTGTTTCATTTTAAAAGAGGTAATCAGATTACCAATGTGACGACAGATGTACCGTAATTGACGACACTGACTCCCAAAACTCCCTCCGTGGGCTCGAACATGTTCTCGATACGTTTTATATCGTCGGGTGAAAAGTTTAGGCGTTTACACACGGAACGATGATTTTCACGCAACAGCTCTCCTGGAATATACACACATGTATACGTTGCGGACGCAAAGCCGAAATTTAAACAAAGACGCTTTTAAGAGAACAGGTACGCGGTACGTGAACAAATTAACTAATTTTTGAAACGTACTAATTAAAGTCGGGTATGCTCGACTTTGCTATTACACAAGAAAAGATGTCTAAATATATATATATATATGTACGTGTATACACCCGCGCGCATACATGTATACGATACGCACGTATGCATGCATGCGTGTACGTGTATATATTTAAAAAAAGAAAAAATGAAAAAAAAAAAAAAAAAACAACTACAGCCTAAATAATATATTGTATTTACGTTTCATGTAATATTTTAACAAGCTATGTAAAATACTTGCTTATATGAATTATACGATATTAATACTACGCAATGGCAAAGCACACAAAGTGTCAAGTTGGTCAATCGGTAGCTGCACGATCGCACGTGCGTCGTCAATCATTTGACGATAATCCTACCAAACTCTTCCCATCGTTCCCTCCTGATCGCGTTCGTCATGTTTGCTATCCTTTCGTGCCGCACGATCGCGTCCTTGACCATTTCCATCGTTTCTCGCGGAAATAACAGTCCCATCGACGACGCGCCAGCCGGATGTGCACGCCATCGAGACATCGTGTTCATCGCCGTCGCAACTTGCTCGCAGCGTGTCTTGCTCTCGTCACGCTGCGCCGATGATTTCTTCCCTCCTTCGGTATCGTCGTTCAGTTCGACGAGAACCAGCTGAACGTCCGTGTCGTTCCAATTCGCGCGATCGACGTCGAGAGATTGCGCGTCAAACGCGAAAATCCGACCCTGGTCCCCGATAAGGGACACTAGAATGTCCGACGCGCGAACCTTGCAAGAGTTTGTCGCCAGTCTCTTCGCCTGCTGGCAGACGAGCATCTTCTCCATGACGTTGCCGGTGCAGGTACTGGTGATCGCTTCGAGAAGCGTGTACAGCGCGACGACCAGGGCGGAATCGCTCCCGAGACCGAGTTTCGCAGGCAAGCTGGACACGATTACGACTTTAAAGCCAGGAACCTGTCCTGTTGACGACATCAACATCGATTTTTCTCATTTCGTCTGTTGCCGCAAGGCGCAACGTCGGAGCGCAACCGTTTGCCTGAGATTTTTATCCTTTTTATTCGTACAGCTCGAGAATATGTCAACCTTTTAGCTACTGAACGCCACTGTATATAGCTTACAGGGTACAAAATGTTGCCTTTTCGGTAACATTTGGTACGCCACTACCACGCCAGTGGCTTTCATGGATGTCATGATTTTTTGAACGACAATACAATGAAAATACAATGTAAATAAATAAATTGTATAACACCTTCATTTATAACTCTGTTTCGATCTACTTGCTTGCACTAGCAAGAAACGTCACGCGCAGTCCCGCCGTATGTAACAGATGATACAGTCTTACCTGCGAAAAGTCCAGCCGTAGCTAAAAGGTTGAAAAAAGTAAAGGACGTCGCTACACGTTGTTCTCGCTTCTGATGCCAGCAGAAACGATCGTGACGTTTTGTTACGCGGAATGGAGAACGTAGCCAATCTATCCACGTATATTATAGATCGAGGTGTTGGAAATCGACCGAGCTAACATAGGGCCAAAAGTTTCTACCCATTTATTTTTGCGTAGGAAGTGATTTTTGACCTACAGCCATGTACTGTACCTCGCCGCTCCTTGAAACTTCGTATCGCTCCTTTCAAACAGCATATCCACGAAGCTTCTCCCGTCGATGTACAAAGATTCGCGTCGTTCAACCGAAACTCGCACGACTCCCGCTCGCCGCTGTCCAACAACGTTTTAACCTGACACAGTTTGCTGCCGTGACTGCGTTTACCGACCACCAGCGTCACGAGTTGAACGGCCTATTTTTATTTCAAGAGAAGATTATTTCAAGCCAGGACAACCAGTCTCTATCGTGACACGTCACTTTTTTCCAGCACGTACCATCGATAACGATCTAGCTTCCGTGAGATCGGCGCTCTCGTTCCCAGCCACGGCCAGACATCCCGGCGCGAATACCGCGCAAGTAGGGAACAATCCGTAACAACTGACAAATTCCTGTTCGGCGAGAGATCTCAGTTCATCCACGCTCGGTGAACTTGAAACTCTTTTACGGGACGGGTACTCGTTTCGACGAGCTTCCACCGGTTCGTGGCTGTCTCTCGAAAACTGTATCGCGGGGGGAAAAATTTGGACAAAATCAAACCCACAATAAACAAGTAAAGTTTGTTAATATTTAACCCTCCGCATACTAAATCTCAGCGTCCTGTGTCGGGCTCATTTTGACTCCACTAATACATATTTAGGGTCGTCCGGACGACTCACCGATACTGTACAGAGTGACCCGTTGCTCGAGACCGATATTGTACCAACACAGTGACAAATACCCGACTCATATAGGAACATGTAAGGAACAAATAATAGTCACGTGAATAATAAAGTTATATATATATTTACTGTACATTTATGTCATTCACTGTCAGGAACGTCTTGTGCAGATTGTGCAAAAGAAGACAAAGAAAGATTGCTCGTTGGCATGGCGTCAACAAATAGAGAAGAAGTAATAAAAAGAACAAAAAACAATAGTAAAAGTAGTAAAATATTAAAATAGTGCTAAAAACTAAAATCTAAATAGTAAATACAAAAATAATATAAAATACTAAATACAAAATACTAAAAAAAAACAAAAATAATACAAACTATTAAATACTAAAATACCAAAACAATAATAAAAACACTAAAATGTGAAATAAACTTTGAAATAAGAAATTGCTTCCATCTGCTACACACGTCTTTCTTTACCAGAAACTGATTTCTTTCGTCCTCGAAGTCGTCGTCACTTGGGCAATTTGGCGAACGCCGCATGATGCGTTAGTAGCGCGGTCACTAACACGAGCAACTCCCGGCACAGGTGAAAACTGTGACCCCGGCACAGTAGGCGGAGGGTGTTAAGTAATTAAGGAAAACTGAACAAGTCCAACAGAAGAGGCATCAGGTTCTCTCTCAAGATCTACGCTGCTCTCTGTCTGAGCAAAAGTCTTATCAATAACTCTTCTCAAACCTTTGTCTCTTGTCGCAAAACCATTTGGCTCGCATTTTACATCTTACGATTACTAGACAAATAGTCCCAAGTCTGACTTTTTCGCTGGAAAAATCGGATCGGGCACGCAACAGGCGACAATTGTCCCGCTCTTGGGCAAACCTTCTACTTTAACCTTTTAAGGGACTAACGTCCGATATATCGACACCTATATGATATCTGAAAAAGCCCAATGTCCGATACATCGACATTGGTCTCTCTCTCTCTCTCTCTCTTCTTGCTTTGAGTAGCTTGAGTCTTTGATTCGATTCGAACTTTGAAAATATAGGAAATACAATAATTTATAGTAGAAAACCTGTAAAATTAAACTTTGCCTGGCGATTTCAATCCGTCAACTAGCGAAGGGTGATTTTAAATACCCCGTCCTTAGAAGGTTAAAGGTTAGTATGTAGTCGGATCGTTTTTCTTTATTTTTTCTTTTTTTCCCTTTTTGAAGATTGTTTTACAAACGTAGCGAGTGACGTGAAAAAGTCAGGGTCTTACTTGATCGTCTGGAAACACGGAAGCCATGGTACACGCCGTACGGGCATCGCCAGATTTATCGTTCATTCTGGGAAAAGTCATCTAGTCGAACGAATTCAACGTACCAGTACGCGTAAGCGCGTATTAACGTTCAAATCAGCGTATTTTCGACTCGACGTTTTCCAACATTTCCGACATTTTCAGCCGAAAGAACGGAAACGCTCGGATAATATGGAGATTTTGTTTCTTTTTCCTTCGTCGGGTCGTTTTGTTTCGAGCGTCATCGAGCCTCGTTGAAACGTGCAACGTCCGATACACGGACGTACGATTCACTTTTCGAATCCTGCCTGCTGCAGAAATCGATCCAGCGCCACGATTGCAATTTCTCTCGTTTGTTCGTCTCACTCGTTCCTCCTGCCCCTCTCTCGCCGATTATGCAAACAGTTTTGCAGAAGCGAGTTGACAAAGCGCGATACCAAATCAAGATACGCCGAGCGAATCTTCAACGAATTTGAAAAAACGATTGGAATTTGCTAATTTACGAAATATTCTTTATTTCAGACGGTATATTTGGCATATTTGTTGCTCCATTTCTCAGTTTGATGTCAACAGCGAGCGATGTTGTCAGTGAACGTCAGTGAAATGGAGTTGCAATCAGTAAAGTTGTACAACTCGAGTTGTTAGACTTTGATAGAAGCTACACCTGCCTAGAGAAAAATCATTCGGCACTTTGCGAGCATGCGCCGTTTGTTCACAATGTCCCTTTTGAGGAGTAGTTTTGTATTCGCGAAGCGCACAAAAAATCAAATAACAACGAAAAAAATTTTAGACGAGCATTTCGAAAATCACTCTTCGTATTCCCGCTGTAGCTGTATGTATCAAACCAGATACATATCGATGAACATAAAAAAAAAGAACTCTCTCTAAAGAAACGAGCTCAGTGTCCTCGTTGAAAATTTTCGCATATTTTTTTTTTTAATTAATATACACATATATTTCTAATCGAATCTATGTATCGTTTTACTGTAAAAGTTGTTGTTTCAATATCCTCGAACGAACGTTTAATAAATAATAACAATAATAATAGGTTTGGGTTACATTGAACGTTGATGAAAATTGGCCCTCGATAAGTTAATAATTTGAAAAAAGTTGGACGATCCATGATCCAAAGAACTCCTTGCGACGCTTTGACGAAGCGACTTTGCGACACCGCAGAAAAAAGGACGTTAACCAGGAGATGCCAACGATCCAGCGTTGCGACATTTTTTTTAAATACGCGCAGTCGTATTTCCCTTTATCAATCGCAGTTGCGCGCAGTTATTGTCGACGGTGTAGCGGAAATTGTCGGGATATCGAGGCGAAACAGGAACGTGATAAACGGCGTATGGTTGGCCGTGTCGATACGATAATGAGCTGCGCGTCACGAACGTTCGCGTAATTATCGTCGCAGCACGAAGCTGGAAAATTGTCGGAGATACATCGGAATTACGTACGGTAACTGTCAAATCGAAATTGGATCCCAGGGGAAGCAGCACTGCTGGCTTGCGCGCACGACCATCACGGCCGATCGAAAGAAAAAACGAGATCCGTATTCGACTTTGTCGACCTCTCTCTCTCTCTCTCGTACAGGGTGGAAAGAAACATTTGTCTATCTATAGATGAATCCTTTCACCTTTTCGACTATACTCATGTATATGTTGTCGTTTCTTGTCGTTTCTCGGCTTTTGGGCGAGTAAAAGTAGCGCTACGCGCGCTTTTCTTTTTTTTTTTTTTCTTTTTTTTCCATCGTCGCAACGAAATACACAGGCGAATGGCGGTTTCGCCATAGGAGAGCTTTCGATCTCTCTGGTTGCGAAACAGAGAGACGCAGGAGAGCGAAATTTGGCGAGAACGCGCGGCGAGCCGCGAGTGCGCGCGGATCGTTTTGGCGGAAAGTGAGTGAAACTCACTCTCCGAGGCAGGGGCGGAGTCCCTGCCCTTTGTCAATAAGAGCACGCTGCCTCTCCCTCTCCCTCTCCCTCTCCCACACCGTCGTTTCCACTATTTCTCGTTTCTCCTCTCGCCGCTGTTGACGAGCAGAGTTCGCTAGACTATGCTTGCTCTCTATCACCCTTTCACGTCTGTCTCTTCTCTTCCGTTGCTCCTCTCTTTCTCTCTCTCTCTCTCTTTCTCTCTTTTCTCGCATCCATCTTGGTCCTTCCTCTTGCTCATCTGGTCTCGTCCGAGCTCGAGCTCGAACTCTTTCTCGTACGCCTTTCCAAATATATAATACTTATATAGGTACCTACATGCGTATATATATATATATATACACGTACATACATCTATTTGGCCGCCGCGGCAACGACGAGGAGCTGACTAGGCGGAGCACGCAGATATACGGGCAGAGCAGACGCCCGACGTCGCGACGCCGTGCCGCGCCGCGCCGTGTGTCGTGTCGTGTCGTGTCTTAGCGTGAATCTTCGCACGTATGCAATTGGTGAGCAGAGACTAAACGAGGGAGAGAGAGAGAGAGAGAGAGAACGAACGTGGGGAGAGACGTGCGCTCTGCTTCACGCATAGTTTCAGTGAGAATCAAGAGAACATGTGCCCGAATCAAAGGTGAATCCCGCGACGAACGTATCATCGATCCGGTGGTTGCGGAATTCCAGCCGGTGTGTTCGGTCCACGCGGGTACGCGCAGGGACGCGCAGGGACGCGCAGAGACGCGCAGAGACGGCTGCCAGCCGCGCTCTACTCTCTGTTGCTCCCGACACCCGACACCCGACACCCTAGCCGACCGTATCCGCGCGCGCGCCACCATCTTCCACGGGACAATCGTTCTCGACGGGACATCTTTCGCGAAATCGAGAGAGAGAGAGAGAGAGAGAGAGAGAGAGCTACGCGACAACGAGGGTCGACAGAGACACACCGAGAGAGAGAGAGAGAGAGAGAGAGAGAGAGAGAGAGAGAGCGAGTGAGTGAGAGAGGGAGGGGAAGGGTGAAAGAAGGGGACAAGACGAGAGGACAGAGGAAGAGAGAAAGAGAGGTGACTTTTATCGATTGTCGTCGTGGGACGAGATACACGGGAGACGTGCTGGATTCGAGAGTGCGAGATCTTGCGTTGCGACAAAATAAACTCGCGGCCCGCGTTGACCATCAGCCGGCATTGTGCGTCGTGTTGAGGTGATCCTGGCCGGGATCAGGATCAATCGAGGGATGACTCTCGCGTCGGCCATCGAGCTACCTCGTACACTCAGCTGATGGTGTTCGCGCGAGCGAGCCAACGAAACCGAAGGGTGGTTCTCCGTTCGGCTGACAGATGCAAGAGCTGCCCAAAGCCAAAGAGAATACGTGATCGGTTCGCAGAACCCGCGTTGTCGTCGCGTACATGCTCCGATATTATCCGCCGATGTCCAAAGCTGATCGACCACGTAAGTACTCTCTGAAATCGGATTCTCCGCCTACTGACTATCGTCGTCAGACAAACGTTTCGTCCGACTATCTATCTATCTATCTATATATATATATATATATATATATATGTGACACCTTTTTTGACGCTGAAATCTGTAATCGAAATTTTCCTGCTCAGCGAAAAGAAAATTAACTGTTTGAAAGTCAGTTGTCTATATTTAGAACGGCGACAGTTTCGGTCCACGGTTGTTGTTTCGATAAACGACAAACAATATACGAGCGGGAGAAAGCTCGTGTTCAACGACGAAAAGGAACGTCACGTCGAATCGTCGCGTGACTTGCCAAAATTCAACGTCCATTGTGGCGCGAAGCCGCCGTTTCCATCTTTACACTTTGCCGTAAATTCCAATTTCCTCGAGACGAAAAAAACTCGTTCGATTCGTATTCTTCCGTTTTCTACTTTTACCTAGCCCTTCGGCCAATTGTCAATTGACTAATGCGACGTAGAACGCAGTCTGGCCCATTCGTACGAGAAACAATCTTTCTTCTTTGTTACGTCATGGTTTGTTTCGGCATCGGCGGCAAGTTTGTTCTGCAACTTTAATCAGGGATCGACCCATCACCGCCAAATGAACGTAACCAATCTGACCGAGTACTCGCTATCTACGCTCGCTTCCAACTTCCAACGGTCCGTGTGTGTACACGCGTCTATAATCTCTTGCGAGCAACGAGGAACAACGGTTGCCCGCTGCGCCGCCGCATCGCGTCGCACAAATCCACCGATGAAATTTCCTGTTCCTAAACCAAACAAAGCAGACGCGACATCGCAACTCCCGATAATTCACCCCCGTTTCCTATTCTCTCTTGCCATCGAATTAATCGACGAGAAGAGACGAGAAGAGACGTGCAAAAGCGATTGTACCAAGACCCAAGGCGATTCTACGTAACGCTCGTGGCACGGATACGATACGCTCCAGCTCGAATACCACCGGCGAATGAAATTTGCAAAACCGTTTGACCAGTTGGAAAACCGTTTGATCTAGGCGCGCCCGAATAAATCTAGTCAGTCTCAAGTGCGACTCGAGTCAGTCTCTTCCGCGCCATGTCATAAACATCCGTGCGTACTCGCGGCGATTCGATATACAGACAGTATATTTTTCAAAAGACAATCGTTCTCGAAAATGCTGCCCCACCCTAGTCACTCTCCACACGGCGGCAACGAGGAATTTTGGAAATCCTTCCTGCCCTCTACGCGACATACACTCCACAGACTCTTTTTGAGGGAAACGAGGGTAATCCGAGGTTACGTTACAAAGGACAAAAATGGAGGACTTTGAGGAAATCGGGTTAGTCATTCAAGTATCAATTCAGTCACGGTTGAACAACATCGAGACGATAACCAAAAGCAGCTGGCAGTCGAAAGCAATTTTTCTGCAATTCTGCAGCTGGTTCTTTCCTCCGTGAAATCGAGGGTATAGAAATATCGTCTGTGATAGCCACGGTGAAACTTTTTCTTTCCAGTTTCTGTACAGTTATGCGTTCAGTGTTCGTGGAAAAAGTTGGAGGAAACGACAGCACGAGTCAAATAATAAAGTTAACGATAAATCGTAAGAGTAGCAAGATCCATCGTCGTTAGTCTATTTCCGCAACAGTGGGTGGTCCTTCGAACCCCGAGGGCGAAAGGCGCCCCATCGGCACCAGTTGTAAATGCCCTCAACAGCGATTAACATTGCACGCAGTGACGGCGAACCTTTTTTCAGTCAAAATTTGTTCATTGCTTTTTTTTTTTTTTTTTTTTTTTTTTTTTTTTAGTACTAGCTCGTGGGTCACCAAGTCAGTGGCGTCACTTGGAAAGGGGGAGGGGAGGATGGTTAAAAACTACTTTTTTTTTTCTCACTTTTACAATCCTCTGAAAAGTTTACCTTTCCTTTTTTGTTTTACAACTTTTACTTTCGCAAGTGAAGAGCAAAAAATAAATGTCGACGTCGAAAAATTGATATGAAAAAGGGGTGACGTCGTTCCCCTCGCAGTCATCCCTGCACTATACATTAGATATATATATATATATATACTTTATTTCTTAATATTTTTTATTGTCTGTTCTCGCTTTCATTATATAAAAAAACTAGCAAAGCTACCCATTCTGAGAATGGGATCTAGTGTGTTTTTTTAGTGTTTGTCACATCGGTTTAATCGTAAGCGCTATATAAAATTTTTTGGACACAACAAACTCGTATAACATTTAAGACTTAAAATACTTATATGTATGCACAACCAAGTCGTAAATCCTCCATAAAACGCAATTATGCTTCTCACGTTTAAGCTCTAGGCCCAAACACTTGTAATTTAATTCAACATTTTTTGAAACAGGGGTTCGAAAAATAATTAAAATTCTTTTACACGTATGATGACAAGTTATAAAAATCAACGCGTGGGTCAGTGTTTGACTCGCGGGTCATAGGTTCGCCATCATTGATTGGACGCATAATGGTCATCGTGACAAATCTCTGGAAGATTCTACTTTTTACTTTTTACTAAATCAACGATTCTAATTCGAGAGAGTCTCGTTTGAATGTTTTATTCGAAAAAAAACGTGCACGTCGACGGTGATATATTTAATCGGCAGCCGCGACCGTTTGGAAATAGATGAACGTCGAATATCCACCGAATTCGATATCGATACCTATGTATTTCACAGTTATTTCGGGAATTTCAAAGAGGCAACTCGGGGGAAAAAGCTCCCCCTTGCTTTTCATCTGTTTTAACCTCCGTCTTTCATCGACTTGATCGCCCTCGTGTTGACGACATCAGCTTCCGACAAGACCAAATTGGCCGTTGTATGATTTTTCTTTGTAAGGTTTAGGTTTCAGGTCAGTTCAAATTATCGACAAGTTTTCATTGTCATTGATGCATTGTCATTATGCTCTTCACACTGTAGCTGCTTCGTAGAAGATCGATTAGAATATCTATTAGTTCCCTCTCGAATCGGAACGAGGGAAAGAAGGATTCTTTTGGAATCTAACGCTACTGTCTCTCACGGTGGGGCAGTCTCGTTGAAGTTCTTTCCAAGAAGACAAATACGCGACAATTTTAAACCAATTTGGTGGACTCCGTGCTGTGAGACCACGAGTTTCCAAGTTGTAAAGTAACTGATCAATGATACAAAACGAAATTCGAAGCTTAAATATTGACTCTTTTTATTTTTCTAGTCACATTCTTACACAAGTCTCGTGTCTCTCTCTCTCTCTCTCTCTCTCTCTCTCTCTCTCTCTCTCTCTCTCTCTGTCGCAGTTTTTCGGGAAATGGTGACACTACGCTCGCACTAGTCGACGAAGAAACGTGTGACACGTTCTTTTTTTTTTTTATTTCTTCAATCGAACGAAACGAAAATACAAGACTGAAAAAAAGCGCAGAATTTGCCCGCCGATAAATTGAAGAGAACCGCGCGACTGAAAGAGGGAAAGAGCGAGCGGAAACGCAAGTGTAACGAGTATCGAAACTACCGCGTCGGAATTGAGTCGAGTTGAGTCGAGGGAGCGCTTGATTCGTACTTTATAAAACGATCGCTCGAATATTCCCCCGGAAACGGGGGAGATGGCGTTATTAAAGAGCGGGGAAAACGGACAGATGGACTTGAGATGGCAGAGAGAAGGCAGAGACGAACGCAGCAAGACAACGAGCGCGAGGGGTTGAAGGTTGAAGGGAATCGGATCGCGAAACAAGGAGATGGGAGAGGACCGAAATGATACCGAACGATACGCACGCACCACTGATGATGAACGAGTGTGGAGAGAGAAATAAAAGCGTCGCGTTGGGCTGCGTTGGGCTGCGGCGTTGGACTGCCATTATCGTTAACGACAGACGAGAGAGATTATCCAGTTGAGAATGCGATTCTATCCTACGTCCTCTTGCGTAGTACGTAGTCACCATTCGTTGTTCGCGACGATCGTGCCGTCAGTTCCTCAGTTTCTTTCAAATTCATTTCTCTCAAATATATGTCGCACGCGTGTACGTACGTTGCATCGTCGCGTTCCGAAAATGGCACAAGCTGGATGAAACGACGAGTATCGTTGTTCTTCTGTACATTTATATCTGTATTTATACTTGTTGTTTCGCAGTGGCAAATGGCAACAGACGCGTCCTCGTGAATCTTATCGTGGTTTTAAGTTACATGTGAAATTGACACTGAAACTATCGACGACGTAGATGGTGGCACAGAGAGATTCCCATCAGAGAGACACTAGAGTGAAAAGAGTTAAAGAGCTTTACACGGTACGACCAAATAACTTGCGCAAGCTTTCACTTGTATATTTTACAAAGAAATGCGCTGTCTCGTATCTACAAGATTCCCGACGAAAGTTATAAATTCGTTATTTTGATCATTCTGGCGGCGTTGAGAAATCTGACCTCTTAACGTGTGGATTAGGTTTGGGTAATCACGCGATTCGCGAAGAGCGGGTACTCACGTATCGTATTATACAGAATGAGCCAAAAATCACTTGAATCTATTGAAATTTAATTTAAACTTGAAATTAATAAAATTAATTTCTTTTCTTATATTTTGATACGTTTTATTTAAAAAAAAATAGATAGGAAAAAACTTTGGCCCATTCTGTGTATGTATGTATGTATGTATGTATCGGTAGTACAAGTGAAGAGGAGGTAATTCTACACGAAATAATTCTACACTAAGTCGAATATAAAGAGTAAAGTTTTTTTCATTTTGAGGCTTTGCTTTCCTGAGGAGAGCTTCAAGTCGATTTTGAATATTTTCCGAGTACGCACAACGCACTTGACAACGACGTACACGAATGAATCTTGACGCATGATTAATGATGCGTTATTTATTTAAAAAGCAGTATTAACGTCATTCGTATTAACAACGAATTATTGATTCAAGTCATCAGTACCAGTTACCATTACTTGGAATGAGTTTAAGAGAAATAATTTTCCACTCATTTTTTTCCACGTAGAATCATCTCCCCTTCGCTTGTACTACCAATTCAGGGACATCCTGAATGGTGTATGTACGCGTTACGTGTACGCGTACTGAGATGCGTACGGTGCTTAAAAACGTACGCATGATTTTGTATCTGATTCGGCACAGGTGAGAAGAATCGCAACCGACCGGCAAGCTTCGAGAGTTTGTGTCACCGAGGCGATGAACAACCGTGAGAGGAAGTGATCCCGACGGTTCGAGATATCGAGGCGAGCGACTGTTAACGATACGGGACGAATGAACCGCGGGTTTGAACTATGCTGGCATATTGTACGACGTCATTTTCGATCGAAGGTAAGCACCTAATAACGACTCGTTTTCGATCGACGCTTTAACATCTCGTTATCCTCTTTCGCGGTTTAACTCGCTACAACTACCGAGTTTACTAAAACGTGAAATTCAACATTGATCAGAAACGAAATTAAAGGCAAAAGATAACAGAGAAATTTTATAATAACAGTAGAATTTACAAACACGTTCATTTATAAGTACAATATAATATATTAATTGATAAATCGTTTGTTTCATGTCACTTCATTTCATTTGAATCTGAAAGAAAAATACAGCGTTTCACGTCTACAAAATTTCTAGGACTAAATTATAAATTGGTCATTTCGATCGCTCTGGCAGTTTTAGTATCAATCGTCTCATTTTTGGTAAAAACTCGTCTCGTTAATCAGTTGCCGCGTTGTACTCGAAACTTGCTTCGAAACTTTCAAAATAATCTAGTCTGCCTCTCCATTAGATACCGTCTAAACATTCCATCTATCTGTCTCATCTTTCATCAACGCGCGTCAGCCAAGTTTCCCTCGATTTCAATCGTAGCTGCAAGTTATAGCCGTCTTCTTTGACTCTGATTACAAATCATCGCCGTCGTTACTCCGTGCGGTTTACGTAGTAGTTTACATCTATCGGGAAACGTTGAACACCGACGTGAATTCGCCGTCATTACCGAGAAAATGGTACCGTGGGTTTAAATGTTTGGTCAGCTGCCATAATCGTAAATAAGAAAAAGCGACTTTGTCCCGCCGAAAAGTCGTATTACATATCGTCGAGCACGTATCTGTCTACTGCACATGCGTCCTATTATACACAGGGTGATTCACGTCACTTGCACGCCTGAAGTAACGTTGAAATTTCATTACGCGTCCAATGAAAAACTGTTCAACTGCGCAAAAGTATAAAAAAGTGTATGGTTTTGAGGGAGGCAAAATGTGGTAACATATGGCTTGTGGCTTGATGCATTTTTACTTACTTGGAATTTAATTTATTCTTTCGACTCGTAATGAAAGAGATACATGGTCCGATTGAAAGAGAATAAAGACGACCTTGGGAATTTCGAGATCCATTGAAAAATTGTTACGTCATATTTCGCCAGCCTTAAAATTCCTCTAGACGAAATTAAAACTTTTGCATCGACAACAATTTTTCATTAGGCGCATAGTTTAAGCGTTGTTTCACGCGTGCAAGTTACAAAAGTGAATCGCCCTGTATGCACACTGCTGAAACGCGCTTGCCAGGCTTGTAACTTTTCATCGTACAGCCGACACTAACTTTCAGACATTCAACTCGTTCCAATTTCTCGTTCTCGCTTCGTCTTTCGGCGATATACCTACATACATATCGCTTCTTTTTTTTTTTTTTTTTTTCACAAACAAATCATTCTTCGCCAATTTCCTCCAGATATCCACATTTTCCTCGACGATCAATTTTACGACGGAGCGAAGATATCGCGCAGCATTGTTTTTACTTTGTTTACAGAAATTCACGGACATTATTCGGACGGTATTCGTAACGTGGCATTATCGTTACGGGACAAGCAACACGGTACGTTGGTACTGTACAATTGTTAGATGCGCATATCGATTCGCGCGATACGTTACGCATTATTAATATCCCGTTATATGGCACGACTGAACGTGGCCTGTTGTTAAGTTGCTTTCGAACCGAGAGTGACTAAAAAAAAATCGATACGAGTATCCTGAATAATTTCTTCGCCGTCTTTCCAATCTTTGCAAAGCTCGAAACCTAAATTCCTTACCCTACGTTCGTTCGTTCGTTCGTTCCTTCCTCCGACTCTTCCCGATATTTCGAAATCTAACCCAAACCTAACCCCAGGCATTTTTCTCCATTTTCACGACAATTGTTTTTTTTTTTTTTTTTTATATGGGGGTTTAGAGTCTTATCGACTTGCGAGGTCTTTAGCGACGTGCTGGAATTTTCTCTTTATATCTGGTCTGATAGTTGGGTCCTCTTTAAGTAGTTGATAACGTTTCTTTTTTTGTCGTTACTGGCAGGTTAGAGCGGTGTTTTGGTTTAATTCGTATTTAATTCTCATGTTTCGGTATTTTCTGCATTCGTGTAGCAAGTGTTGGGTGGTGATTTGTTGGTTGGGTTCTGCAGGTGTTGCAGAAAGGTGGTTCTGTTTTGCTTAGGAGGTATTCGTGTGTCCGATTCAAAGTCTAGTCGTAGCTATCCTTTCTTTTCTGCTTATATTGTTGTCTGGTATCTTTTGGTAGAAATAGTGTGCTATGTTGTGGATCTATTTGTCTGTTTCATTCTTCTCTTTGGTCGTTGGAAGCTAGTAGGTCTTGGTGTGGAATTGGGATTATCCCAATGGCTTCGTTTGTTCGGTCTGTTGTTGCTTCTTTGGCTAAGGAGTCGGCTCTTTCGTTTCTCACTATTCCTTGGTGTGACGGGATTATCCAGGTGATTATTATTTGTTTATGGCCGTTGGTATATGTTCGGTGTACGTTTCCTGAACCATTTGTATGACAAACTTCGTTTGACGACAATTGATATTGTCATCACTACCAAATAACGAAGACACTGAATTGCACTACGTCAAATTACAATGTCATCCGTTTATTCGTATGCCGTATCAACTTTGAGCTTCGCTTCGCAATACGTCTAATAATCTGGTAATCCTACGTCGCAATACGTTTCCCTTCTCTCGTCACGTTTTCTACGCGCTACGAGTTGGCGTCTTTTTGTGATTAATCTGTTTTCCACGTCTTTTCATTTCAAGGACATTATTAAACGAAATAACCGTAAAATAATACATGACCGCCGGAAGATGTAATTGATTTTCCTTCAGTTTCGAGCTCGAGTTCGAGACGACGCGAGAGCAATTGTCGTATTTCAAGAGTTTGAAAACAAGAGACGTATCGTAAGCAGAGAGGCAAACGGCGATGAAAACGGCATTTGGATAAATTTCGCTATTGAGTAGCACGTAGAGGCGTCCTCGTCCCTCCCTACGTAGCGGCGCGGCATCCCGGAAATTATGAAATATCGGCGAATTATTCCATTTCCGCCAATCACCGCTTCGTTTCATCGTCCAGAACTGGCTCTCTCCTCTTTGCGAGTAATTTTCTTCCTTGCCTCTTTTGCCCCTACGATTCCGCCGTGTGCGACGTTTGAGGGGGTGTTCTAGTGTAAAGTGCGTGTTTTCTAACTTTGTTTGGAAATTTTTTGCAACAAAACTATTACTTATTAGTCAAATTAGTGGTACTGCGTACTCTCAAATATAGTCGCTTTTAAAAAAAAAGTCGTCTCTCACGGTGTCCACGGTGTTCCGGCCGATGTTTCTGCCCGTCTAAAATAAAAAACCGTGACAGTCTCCTAATTAGTATGGATTTGGCTATAGCCGGAACTAGAACAAAAGAAAAATGTCGGTAATTAAAAAATTGGCGATACTTTGAAGTTCGATTATCGATTCTTGCGTGTTTCTCTCATACCTCGCAGGCCTAAAAAGATATAAAAAATAAAAATTTTTTGGCCGACTCTGGTTCGGGCTATAGTCGCACACGTAGTAAATTCGTACTTGAAATTTTGATTCAATTGGTCAAGTAGATGTTGAGACATCATGGGAACCGTTCTGAAAAACATAGTTTCCAGATGACACTGGTCGTCGCGTTCTTCAAACGACCATGATAACTTTGTTAATGTTAGGAGTTCACACGTAAGGAGATGTATTTTCGAAACTACATCCTTTAAGAATACGCAAAAAAAAAAAAAAAAATCGAGTTTTTAATACCCCCTCTCGAAAATTACTCTCACAGCAAACGAATACACGTCGAACGAAAATATATGTTTCGATGCCTTGGCACCATCCTCCGTTCTTTCCCTCGATTTTTCACGTGCTAAAAGTGTTCCACGTAGGCGCACGTGGAAATCTCGTTCGGCCGTTAGCTGCAGCTGTGATAATGAAAAAAATTGCTCGGCGGAGAGTCTGGAAAAGACTTCCGGGGAGGGCTTCCACTTCCGCGAAGTGGCAAGAAACCGCAAAAATTCCAGCTGCAATTGCAAACGTAATCACTCGGAGAGGAGAGAGTAACTAGAAATCTCTGTTGGAGGGCTTCGGACACGTCTGAACTGCCTCTGGCGAGCATCAAACAACTAGATAGCATCGAGAGCATCGTTCGAACGAGCGATCCGACAATGAGAAACGTTTCATTACAGATGAAAACGTTATTGCCTCGTGTTCACTGCACTGTAGCAGGGATGGCACGTTGGAAATTCCTGTAGCACGCGGACAACTTGCAAAAGAGAACTTTGAGCGCCACAGTTCAATCTTTTGCAATCTGTGCAAAATCAATCATTTCGTTTTTTGTTTTCTTTTTTTTTACGAAGAGATTGATCAACAATCAAGTTAGCGTGGATAATTTGAGCAAGACGCTCAACGGTACAGCGCCTCTCTTTATTTCGAGTTTTCTTCTCTGTCACAATTTGTACTTTCTTTGCGTTCGAATCAATCCAAAGCCACACCAACCAAAGAAACAATTTCGTATCCAAAGATTAAAGATGCTTGTTGCACTTGTCACACACAGGCAGCACAGGATAAACGCGGACTAAGCTACGTGTGAAGAAAGATGAAAAAAAAAATTTACTCGATTCTACTTTTTTTTTTATTTTCATTTTCTCTTACATGTTCGTAAATTGATAATATAGTCGATACAACCAACTGCTACAGCACGAGTCGCACGTGAAAAAGTTCGCCATCACTGGGAAAGCGAGAGCCAACGCAGAGCCAACGAAAGGGAACGAAAACGAAAGCAACGATGGTTATCGTTGAAAAACAAAAAAAAGAAGGAGGGGGGATGGGGGGAGAAGAAAAAGTGCAAAAGCGTTTTACCGTAAAGCTGTTACCGTTCGCAGGATATCTCGAGCGGATACACGAGAAAAGTACGGAGTAATGGTGAGAGGCGCACGATCCGGGGTGTTGACCGCGAATTTCAAACAGACGCGTCACACCGTGCACGACTGGCGGCGTAAATTCGGCTTGAAGGGTAACCTGCTGCTGCTGAGAATCCTGGTTGGGCTTTGCTACGTCACAAGCAGCAACTGCGACTGGAAAGAAAGGATGCCGCGCGGGACCAACCACCACCTGACGCGAATTGCCTCGAGCCGGCTGCATCAGTTCGGCCACTGCGACTTCGAGGAGATCTGCGATTGGTCGTGGTTTCAAAACCAAACCGCTGGCTTCAAGAAGACCGCGCCAGCCTCGCTGCGAAGTAAGAACGGGCCTATCGTCGACGCCAGCAACTCGACCAAGGGTAAGAAGGCGCACTCCACACGTTGCCTTTACCTTTTTCTTTTTTTTTTTTCTTCAACTTGCCAGACTCGATCGATTTTCGACTAGTACTTCTTCGTACTTGTTATTAATCTTCTGTTTCAAACTTTTGTTTAAAACATTCTCGCCGTAACGCGCGAATTTCAAATACCCGTAGCACATTCTTCGTACCGTTAAATATGATGTGACACATATGTGCATACGTACTAGAGCAATGACGGCGAACCTCGCGTTGATTTTTATAAACTTGTCATCATACGTGTAAAAGAATTTTAATTATTTTTCGAACCCCTCTTTCAAAAAATGTTGATAAAATTACAAGTGTTTGGGCCTAGAGCTGTAAACGTGAGAAGTAAATGCATAATTGCGTTTTATGGAGGATTTACGACTTGGTTGTGCATACATATAAGTATTTTAAGTCTTAAATGTTATACGAGTTTGTCGTGTCCAAAAAATTTTATATAGCGCTTACGATTCAGAATGGGTAGCTTTGCTAGTTTTTTATATAATGAAAGAGAGAACATAGAATAAAAAATATTAAAAAATAAAGTACATTTTATATATATATAATGTATAGTGCAGGGATGACTGGGCACGTCACCCCTTTTTCATATCAATTTTTCGACGTCGACATTTATTTTTTGCTCTTCACTTGCAAACGTAAAAGTTGTCAAACAAAAAGGAAAAGTAAACTTTTTAGAGGATTGTAAACGTGAGAACCAAAAAGAAGTAGTTGGTGATCCACGAGCTGGTACTAAAAAAAAATAACGAACCAAATTTCACCCACTTCTCGAAAAGGTTCGCCGTCACTGTACTAGAGAGTAGCCTGTACGTACGTGCGTAATATTCAGCTCCAAGTCGATAAATGAAATGTACGTACGTATAATTTAGACGAGGAATCTAAAATTTGAACAGTCGAAATGTTTCAACGTAGACTCTTTTCTCCAGGGCATTTTTTATGGTTCACCGGCCCCGGAAAGCCTCAAATATTATCGAGGACGATCCCTCCCACTGGGTCACGCTGCGTGTTGAAATTAGCCCTCTACCAAGTGGAAATGAACAGCGGCGATATCGGGTTGCTCGTGATCACGAACAACACCAGTTGGGTGGTCATGGAAAAACCAGGAAACAATCGCGCCGAGTACGTTTGTTGTCATTATTATCGGATGGAAACAGTCATAGCGCGAAGACTCGCTATGACGGAACGGAAAACAAAATTCAGTTCAACTGGCTGCATTGCAGATGGGGAGTAACGCGTTTCACATTAGGATCCATCACTCAGCCGCATCAGTTGCTCATAGAGATGACGGTACCCTATTCCAACTCTAGCATCGCCGTTGATGATATTCACCTGGTCAACTGTTTCCCCGGTAAATATCTTTATTCCTCTCTTTGCGCGTCGTCGACATCATTGCGATCGGCATTGTGCAAGTCGTTGATTGCGCGTCGTCGTCACCAAACTGAACCCAAACTGAACAAACAAATACAACAGTGCACGCGACACGTAGGTGCAGGAAGTAGTCGGAGAAAAGAAAGAGAAACGCACGTTCTCGTTTGCAGAATCAACACCGGTGAAAACGGCCTGCACGGAGGACAAGTACCGCTGCAAGAACGGCTTCTGTCTGAACAAAGAGCACGTCTGCGACCTAACGGAGGACTGCGTCGACGGCGAAGACGAACGTGACGACTGCGGTGATCATTGTTATTGTTATATACAAACGCGTCGTTTCATAGTCTCCATTTTTTTTTTTTTTTTTTTTTTTTGGCGCTCTTCGACGATTCGCAGACACGCGACAGAGTTCATGATCGATCTTCCTTTCAGACAAAATACCCGAGAACGCCAGGTGTAATTTCGAGCACGGATGGTGCGGCTGGAAGAACGTACCGGGGAAGCTTTTAAATTGGACCCTCCATCGTGGTGCAACGTCCGAGAAAACTGGACCTAGTTACGATCATACGTACCGCAATACGTCCGGTCTGTATACGTGCGTGAATGCACACACGTACGCGAATACACACGAATACATACGTACGCGACCTCTTCTCAATCTGCGCACATTGATAAATCTTGCTAATTAAAAAAATTTTCAACCGTTTCAAACACGCTCACGCCACCACGTTCGTTGTTATCAATATTTCGCAACGAAACCACGCGAGGAAATTGTTATCGCAATCGGTAGCGTAATTTCGTCCCGTGATATAACACTATACGACTAACCATACCGTTTCAACTTTAAATTCCCAGTTGATGAAAAATTCACGAGAACAACGATCGGAGAATGGCCGATAACGAAATGTTTTGTTTGACGCGTGAACGTTCAAACGATTGCAAAATATGCAAACATTCGCGAGACAATGGTTCCCTTTTTTTTTTCTTTTTTTTTCTTTTTTTTCGTCGACCGTGTCCATTTTCTGCCAAGCGAATGAAATAAACGTAGATGGAAACGTAATTGAAGTAAAAAAAAAGTAACATTTCTAATATAACAAAGCCAACACAGTCTCTCTCTCTCTCTCTCTCTCTCTCTCTCTCTCTCTCTCTGTTTCTCTCGTAGTTAGAAAGGTATGTATTCGATCGAAACGACGCGAGTTTAAGTTTCAATGTGATTTTTCCCCATTACAGGGACATACGCCTATGTAAATATGTCATCGCGAGTGTCATACGGTAGTCGCGGTATCATCGAGAGCCCATTGTATAATCCGACGCCACCTTACAACGGCGATCCAAAAAGTCCTTATTACAAATCGTGTCAGGTAGGTTGCTTTGCCTCGATTTTACAAAAAAATATCAAGTACAAAATGTAAAACGTGAGACAGAAGATAAAAAAAATAGGGTGACTCGTCGTTAATGTGTAATACAGTATTATATGCGTGTGTGTAAAAACAGGTGCGATTCTTTTATCATCAGCACGGCGCGAACAGCGGTTCGCTTGGATTGTACCTGATTCAGGTAAAACCGCACCAACACCATCACGAACAGTTATGGTGGGCTTACCTCTACGGTGACAAGAGCGACGTTTGGTACAATCAGGCTGTTCCTCTGCCCGACATCAAGTACAGGTAAACACGTCCAATTTTACGCTCCTCGATTTTACGCATCGCTTCGACGTCGAATAATAATAAATCGCTACGCGTCCGTTTATTTTAGATATACGTACGTACACGTGTACAACGTAGAGATATTAAGAGATATTTAATTTAATCCGAGATAATTAAAAAAAACGAGACTAAGAATTTAACACGTCTGCTATTTATCCAGATATTTTCTGCAATTTGAGGCGAGCAAAGGCTATTATTCGAAAGCCGACATAGCCATCGACGACTTTTCCCTCAGCCCAGAGTGTTTTGGCATTGGTAAATTTCAAATTTCTCGATCGATCTCGAGTGTACACAGAGTGAAAAGGAAAGTTTGTCCGTGACTATCCTAAATATAATTCAATGAAATACATGTATTATATTGTATTATTGTATGAAAAAAAGGAAGAATTTCTTGAAATTCAAGATCGAGGTCAATTTTGCGGCAGGTTTCATACGCGCTCATCTTCTATCGTCGAAAGACAAAGATGTAGAATCTACGATAGCCACGGACCAACTTTTCTTTCACTTTTCAAATCCTGTTCAAATACTAGGTGTGTGCGGGTAGTTCGACATCGAAGTCGGGTAGTGCTTAGATCGACTCGGGAACTCTAAAATCTATAATATTCGGATATTATATAACCGAATATTACGTCGCGAGTCGGGTGATAATTTTCCAATCGGATTTCACACTTATTCTTTCTTCAATCTTTCTTCTTGGATTCAATTGAATTTACAATATTGCTGCCGTTGTCAATGTTAAAAAAAAAAAAAAAAAAAAAAAAAAAAAAGCAGGCATAGTAAGAGTATTCAGTCCGCTATTTACTCAACGACACAATTAACGCAACTTGTTTGCGATTCTATTAAACGAATACTTGAATAATTATTCTCGATTGATTGTAAAGTGTAAAAAATATTATGTTACTTTTTTTCGAGAAAGTATGTTTTCTAAAAATAAGCTAGCGTTTCTTCATTTATGCGGAATAGGAAAAACTGTCAAGGTTTTGTCAAGTTGCACAGCTACGAGGTGTCACGAAAATTCCACATCGTCGGTAAACACGAGCAATCTTGAGTGGTTTTCGACAAAGAGTTCGGAAATGAATAGAAAATAAAAAAACTCACGGGAAACTCGCGTGTACAATGTATACTTACATTAACATGAAAGAAAATGATGCACGGACAACTGCGACGACGACAATGTCAAAAGTGCTGTTGGCGACGCTCTTGGCTTTCGACCGACCGACTAAAAAGGAAACCCAAATGAAACGAAAGAAGGCTTATCGTCAGATGCTGGCTGGCAACGTTTCGAACAGCTAACAACGCGGCGAACAAAATTATGTTTTCTTCGCAGTAATTTAAAATAAAATAGTTTTCGTATAATATTATCGACTGTTTTCTTTGCTTGTGGATTTGTAAAATTTAACTTCATTTGTACAGAATATAAAATGATATATTTGTAAATTTGAAAGAATAAATGTAAAATTGTCCGATTGAAAAATTATCACTGTGACCCGAGGGGGATGTAATTGTGATTCGGGTATGACAAACGATCGGAATCCGAAATGTCGGGTACCCGCACACCCCCATGTTCACTTGAAAGTGAAATGCTGTGAAATGGCAATTTCATTCAGGAGTCCCTCCCGAGGTAGTGGGAGACTTCAATTACTACAACCCCGTGATAGATTCGGAGAAAGTTCCAGATCAACACGCCGACTTTGCCAACGAAACTGGTATCGTATACCACATTGTGGTGATAAATGTCGTCGTTCGCCTTCGGTAAAAACTTTTCTCTCCTTCTTTTTGGCGCGAATTTGAAATCCAATTAAATTTCCACGCGCAGTTATACGAATTGGCACGTGCGGAAACACTGGAAGGAGGGGGCCCAGCAGCGAACAATGCGCCGATGATTACAACAGCACGGACATAGAGTTACTCGCGCCTTCGACGACACCTCAGCAACAGTCATCGTCCTTGAATTTGAACGGAGTTCAACGGTGGACGGCACCTCGCGGTGGCTATTACACGTGAGAGTCTATTCGAGAAATCGTCTCTATTTGAAACGGCCATAATTGTCCATATATATATATAAGCATAGCATAGCCTAAAATAACTTTAACTGTAACTCAATAACTAACCTAATCTACACCGTGGTCAACTTATTGTCAGTTTGATTGGAATGGGTGCCCGTGGAGGAAAAGGTTCTAGCGGTATGGGAAGTACGTTGGGCGCACTTGTCCGTGGTGTAATTGAATTAGAAAAGGGCGAGCAACTGTATTTCATGGTGGGGCAGTCAGGAATGGACGCGTGTCCTAAAGTAAGAGAGAGTCTAGTATACGTATCTATTATACGTAGTATAAAATGCACGAACCGACAAAACAAAAAACAAAACAAAACAGAACAGAACAAAACAGAACAGAACAAAACAAAACAAAGAAAAAAGAAAATGCATCCATTTACCATCATTGCCAAGTCTCACATTGTAGCCACTTTTCATTTCTTTTATTTGGGAATTTTCCTTGAAACATTCCCCCGCGAGCTACCGTAGAAACGCGACCGCCAGTGACCGAGTAACCGACCAACGATTTTCAGAACTTGGGACTGACGTTGGACAGCTGTCAGATCGTCGGATCGTACGAATCCTCCGTTCCTCTCGGCACTTCGAAGGTACACGAGGTGAAAACTATCAAGTTGAAGGACGGAGGAGGTGGCGGCGGCGGGGCGACATACGTATTCACGGTGAGCAATTTATATTTATCGTTATTCAATCGAGCATCAACGAAGGAGAGAGGAGAGGGGAGGAGATTGAACGCAACCGACCAGGAGATTTACTACCGTCGCTCTATTCCCGACGTTGCAGGTGAAAGATAACGGAGAACAGTATCCGATACTGGTGGCGGGAGGTGGCGGTGGTTTGGGACTGGGACAGTTTGTCGACAACGGTCATCAACACGGACGGGGAGCCGCTCCTCCCGGGAGGCAACCTGCCTCGGGTACGATCCTCTCGGCAGAGGAAGGTAATCAGAGTAACAAGTAATTTGCACTTTATTGCGCGAGATGAACGAAACGTTTCGCGGCGGAAAAACGAAAACACAAAAAAAAAAAAAAAAAAAAAAAAAAAAAAACCTCCGCGCCTATCTTCTATTTCCTTCCCCTTCGTACAAACTTTCTTCCGCAGCAACCAACAAAAAGGAAGAAAGGAGAGGAAGGAAAAGATGCTTAAAAAAAAAAGAAAAGAAAAGAAAAGAAAAGAGAAGAAAAGAGCTCTCAAGATCCCCATCCACTCTCGCGCACGGTCGTATTATTCGTATATCGCACGCGAGGCGCGGCGACTTCAGAAAAGGTTGAATTATCGAGGTAGGAAACGTGTTCCCAGTGGTCTAATCAGGCCGAGGAAAATGCGCGCGGAAAGTGACGCTCGTCGGTGTCGGACGGTGGCAGCAGAGCGAAGTGAGGTGAGAGGGTAGTGAGAAGAGACGGGGGATAGAGAGGAGGTGGCCGAGGAGTCGCTCGGATTGCGAGCGTCGAGGTCGCGGGGTCGTTGACCGGCGAGGGTGGCACTCACCCTAACTAGGCCAGCGGATCTCTCTTTCTCTCGCCCTCCCACCCTCCACCATCGTCGTTTGCCTATCCCTACCCCGCCCTATCGTCGCTCTACTCCATTCCCCTCCTCTGGTTTTCCTCGACTCTCCTCCTCGCACTCTCGTCCTCGCCGCCTCTTTCGGACGGTCCATGATTCTGCTATTTTCGCGGGGGCCACTCGACACGGATATATACGGTCCGCCTACGTTTGGCGGGATAATTTACGTTATTGAGGCCGTTCCACCCTGCCCCCACCACGTGGTATGCAACCGCGGTCGGGTGGAAAGCGCGCCGCTTTTTCCCGCGCACCGCGTACCCTCACCTCCTACCCTCCTCCGCCGCTGAACCCGCTGATTTTCTCGCGAGGCTCTCGGTCGTTTCGCTCCATCGGTCCACTATCTACCGGTATTGGGCTGAATTACGATAATTACCATCGTGCGGACGCAAGAAGCAACCACTTTTATCGGTTGGAGCAACGTACAGTGATTTATTTATTAATATTCGGACATCATGCTAGTCAAAATGTCGTCAGTTTTCGTGGAATTGATTCAATTCGGTGTCTTCATCGTTTCATATCACCCGTACAATGTCAGCCACGATACTCAATACTTAATTTTAAAAGATGACCGATTTCACGATACGTTTCTCTTTCTTCTCGGTGAAAAAATGACTAATTGTAGTACGTCAGTAAACCGAAAGAGGAGTTAAAACAACGATTAATCGAAGAATGGAAGAATATTCCACTGAATTATTTAAAAAAAAATACTGGAAATATGCTTAAGTGTCTACGAAATGTAATTGAAGTTGACGGCTACCCAACAAAATATTAATTATTGTTTATGTTAACAATTTTCAGGTTCAAATGTTATAGTTCTTCAAATGTCCGAATATTTATGCCACGCTATACATTTCGACGTAATTCAGTATTGTTTGACATCAAGAAAAGTACGTGCAATAAATAAATAAAATTTATATTACTATAAACTATAATGAATGTTGTCCTGATATATTATTAAAAAGTTAATCCAAATTTATTATAAACAATCAAAGTCCACAACAATATTTTGAATAGCACGATGTCCGAATATTAATAAGAGTCACTCTATGTATTTTTGCGCAGAGCCGAGCACGCGGTTAACGTTTCTCGCTGAAACGCGAGGCACGTGCTTGAATGTTTGATGAATGAGATTTGGCGAACGAGGAGAGATACTAATTTTGTCTAAGTGTTCGTAGTTTGCTTGGCTCGTTTGCTCGGCTATTATTGCGTCACGTGGAATTGCATAGTTTGACGATAGAGTACGCGTAGTATCGGTACGAGTAGATTTTTCTCTTGGCTAGCGCGAATGGGCTTTCATCGCAGAGTGATTCGGCGAGCATAAGCTAAAAATATTAAATGCCAAAGGTGCTCGAACGGAGAGAGATGATGAAGTTCGCGAGCAGCGAACGTCAAACGCTGCCCTATAAAACGAGACTGCTTTCGTCCCACGGTCCAAAACCACCGGCAGCCCTCGATTACACTGCGGATCTTAAAATCCTCGTCTTTCCGGCACTTTTCCCGGGGAAGAGCGAGTTGCGTGGCCTGCCTCGCCGTGTCCCATATTCGCGGGACGCGAGGCAAAACGCTCGGCCCCGTGCTCAAAGAGGCAAACAAGCTGCAAGGACGGCAAAGGAACAATGCTCGACGCGTTTCCGCGCCGCGGAGAAATTCAATCGGGGGGACCGCGATTACTTATCGCGAGAAGAGCGATCCGACTCTCGACTTCTCAATTTTTCAAAAGACGCGCGGACGTCTTTCGCCAGAGGTAAAAAAGAGTTTGAACAATAAACCTCTTTAACTTTCGAGCTTTGAATTTTGAAAAGCTCTTGCGCGAGGGATTAAAAAAATATCGTTTAGCTTGCTCTGAAAAAATTGAATGACTCTGAACAATTAAAAAGCAAACGAGAAAAGGTAGGAAGAGATTCGAGGAAAGTATTAAAATATGTGTGTTAATAGCTAATGCAGCCGTGTCGACCGCTGAAGTAGAACTTTCCATGCGCGTCAGACATCTGATCTACTGCAAACACGTCAGACACGTACGTACAGTACGCAGCAGGAAATCGTTTAGAAATATACCTCTGCAATTCTACTTATCCGAATGCATCAACTTGTCAACAAATTGTCATTCATACCAATGCAAGAGTTCACATCATTCAGACAAGTAGAATTGGCGGGTAGTTCAGACACTGGCTCAATCAAAATTTCACTGAAACGATCGAATCTAGCGAGAAGAATCGTAACTCGCAATAATCGACGTATGTACTACTCGCGTACGTGTATCCATGTTTAAACTCTCCAAGCACGCGTTATTTACTCGCGTTAATGCGAGAACGGGGCGAAATTCCCCCGCGTCGCGACACTATAATCCGGCCTACTTAAATTGAACGGCGAACAAAGCGCTCTCGACTGTAATAACTAGAGACGCGTTGCAAGGAGGGAGGAAGACGAACGACGAAAACAACAGCAACAGCCAGCTAAACGGCCGCTCGGCGTGCAGCTGCAGCGATAAAGCGGTAACAGGACAAAATTACCGTGCTTTCGAGATCGTGGCCGAGAGGAGAGGAGAGCAGAGGAGATGAGAGGGGAGGGGTGGCTACGGTGTAGATATAATATCTGTAGCAAGGGGCCGACAGGTTGGTGGAAATGCTATACTTAGCAGCCAGTCCAGGGGAAGGGGTAGCAATACCAGGGCTGGCTGGTGGGTCAGAGGTCGTTGCCCTCGGGGCTGCTACCCTCTATCCTCTCTCTTTCCATCCACTCCCTCCCCTCCCCCCGGACCCTCCCGCACACACCGCCCACCGCCCCATCTCACCTCTCCCATCGTTCGTAGCCCGATCCTCAACCGAGTTTCCGGGGGTTGACTGTGCGAGCAGTCGTGAATTGCTTGCTTGAATTTCCGTGGAAACGCGCGGAATCGTTCCCGATCTGTTTCTTTTTCCCCCGTCTGGTTTACGCTCGATTCGATTCTCCCTCTTCCTCCCCCCCCCCCTTCCCCCCATCCCTCGATTTTCGAGCAATCTCCAGCGGAAACACGTTCCTCGGAGACGACGCGCGGTGGCTTGGATCCGGAACTCGAACGGATTTTAGGTATTCTGATTTATGGAAGAGCTTGGGTATAATGCAAATTTGAACAGTCAGAAGTGGTATTTTCTTGGTTTCTTTTTATTTTCTTTCTTTTTTTTTTTTTCTTTTGGTAAAACGAGTTGAAAGGGTAATTTGAAATGTAGAAACCTTTGGTTGGAAATGGAATTTTTTTTCTTTTCTTTCTTCTCCTTTTTTTTTTGTAGGCGTCATTGGATTAAAATTTCGAGAGAAAATTATTACCAAGGTAATAATGAAAAAAATTATTTTATCTAACTCATGGTGCAACTCTGCGCAGCTTTCTCCGTTCCAATTTTAGATTTCAACTCTTGTACCGCTCTAACCGATCTTCTAATAGATCTTCAGAATCCCCCTTGTGAATCTGGCCACTTCCCTCTAATTTTACCCAGAACATTTCCATGTCAACAGCGTATCCAATCATCCCGGCCACGAAATTTCCGCCAACTATCCGTACTCTCTCGTTGAACCCAAAGTTTCGTCCACTTGAGAATATTACCTTCGCGAGAACGAACGAAGACGAACGAAAACGATATATAACAAAGAGAATCGCTCCACCCTCGAGAACGAAGAAGCGAAAGAGAGAAGGAGAGAAAGTCACGATCACGTACGAATTCATGGAGAAACGAGACGAGGCCTGCGAGCAAGAGAGAAATCACCGGCCTTCCCTTTCATCGGCATCCGGACAGACCGCGTTCGCCGATGCCTCAACTTCCTGGTCGGACCACTCTTACTTTCTTCCCGGTGAACCGTGACTCGATTGGCGCGCACCGTGCCAGCCCGGATGAAGAAAAAAAAGAAATGAGGGAGAGGGGACCAGACACAATGCACCCGTTGACCATTCGCCTCTCTCTTTCTCTTACGTTTCCTTCTGTGACACTTCTATCGGCCGTGCACGTTCATCCAGGCGCATACGTATGGTGAAAGCGCCGTGAATTACGAGCCGCCGTGCAAAACGAAATTATGCATCTCGGGTGGTGTCCTTTCGCGCTGGAAAGTTTCTAGCGAGTGGCAAGCGGGCGAAGGACACGCGCCGACTGTTGCAAGCCAGCGGGATTTTCGAAATCCGCGAATTAGAACGTGGAGCAGCGGATTGCGAGAATCGCCTGAATATCGCCGATTGGAAGTTCGCGTATTTGGAAGGATCGAAGGTTGTGACGAGCGATCGCTTCGAACGAACGTAGAAACGTAGATGGATTGGGAGGATTTGCGAAAGTTCGAAAGGGCCTGGAAGATTTATTGGTAAGGATTTCGCCAGTGTACTTCTGTACGCGTAAGATACTATTGGCATTCTAACATCTAAGAAGCAAGATCCTTTCAGCCAGTAACTCTACTGCGTTAACAAAAATAACCTCCGTGGTTCGAAAATTCGTGACGTACGATCAAAGTCGGAGCGAGACAAAGGACTAACAAAAACTATCCCCCGATAAGATCCGAGAGGATCAAGCTTGAAGAACTCGTCGACTAGTTTCGACGAATCTTCGTTGAATTGCAGCTGGATGTAGGAGTTTAAGTAAATTCGCGCGATCGGTTCAGCGAACTTCGGTGGAAGAAGCGCGCGCGCTCGCGTCGATAAGGGTCCAAGCTCGCGGAGCGATAAGAGCCCCGACACGGTTCGAGGTTGTTCACCTTGGCGGTGCTGGCGTGTACGTTCTCTCTCGGGAGGGAAGGGGAGGGACGGGCGACAAAGATAGCTGGGCGCGCGCTCCGCGGGTCCGCACGCAGCGTGAACTGCAAGAGCCACGAGAAATAAAGAGGCGAAAGAAAAAGAGGAGATCCGCGAGAGAGAGATTAGAGGAAGAGGGGAGGATCGTACACTCTTATCGGGCTTCTCGTCGGTTTGGCTTGTGGCGTAGGTACGTTGCGAGATTAGAACGACCCCGAGAGCAGCTCAGAGAGTCGACGAACCGGCCCCTGATTGGGCGATGTCGAGTCAACGCTCCTCTAGCCACCAGGAGGGAAGAGAGGACGGCAGAGAGAGAGAGAGAGAGAGAGAGAGAGAGAGAGAGAGAGAGAGAGAGTGACCGGGAGAGGTAGGGAAGAGGGGTAATCGTGGACTAGGAGAGGACACAGCGCATCAATCGAGGTCACTGGGGACCAGGAGGAGGCCAGGCCATTGCCCGTGTGTCTTGCTTTTGAGGTTAGCTAGTCGTCAGCACGAGCGCAATTAAAAAATGCCCGATGGAGTTCGCGCGGCTGTCGGTGGTGTCGAAACGAGCTTTTTCCTTCCCTTCTCTGCGTTAGTTTCGAGGGGAGTAGCTTATCCGGCGGGAAATCTTCGCGCTTTCGTACATGTGTACTTCGCCCAAACTGTTCACCGACTGCTCCCGATTCGCTAACCCTGAATCACCGATGGAACATCGTGCTTTCACGAATGTGAACCTATTTGTTTGCCCTATATTTGGTGGATATGGAGAATTATGAGAAGATTGAAGGAAACTGATCGATAGGAACGGTGCGAGAGGATCCGGTGCTGGTGATTGAACGAATGAGAAGTCGAGTCAGGGATTTTGTCATTTTGAGATTAAGAATGGGTGTATTGGACGAACGACTTCCAGATTTTGAGCTCTTACACGTAACACAGAGGATTGTCGGTTTATTTTGTATCAGTCGTCTACACGTTTGCAATAAAATTTATGTTTTTGCTAAATTTTCTATTTATTCAGATAAAATTTCGTTTATACGAACGAAAATGGATTTACCGATTGGAATACGACTCACGTGAACTTCAATTACACAAACTACTTGTTCCCCGAAATTTAACTCAAGACTCCGAATCTCCAAAATATTTGTCTGACGAAAAGACCCACTACAGGTCGTGTATCTATCGAAACCACCCCTGACAAAACCATCGAAATTGACCAGAGGAAGTCATTGGACGGAGCCGATCGTTCGCTATCAAAATCCGCGAGCGATTTCCGCGATTCTAGCCGATTGAAAATGGTGAATTGAAATCACGTTCTCCTCGAACGGTCGTTTTAGGCGACAGGTCGCGCGAAATCCCTTGCGGAAATTCGGAATTCAACGAGCGGAACAGCCTCGATCGGGAGGCGAAGCCGGGTGAGCCAACGGCTCTCGACCCACCTCGTAGTTACGCTCGTTGAGGCAGGTCAGTGCTCCGAAGCGGCGGATGCAGCGGCTCGGAGGAATAGAGAAACGGTGAAAGCATTCCAACATGGCCGCTCCGGCGAGAGTGATCACGGTCCAGCAGCACGGCTAATGTACTTTCTCCGCGGGACGAGAGTCGAGATCTCGAGGAAAAGAAATCGAGAGAGAGAGAGAGAGAGAGAGAGAGAGAAAGAGAAAAGAGGGGGAGGTGGGAGGGGGAAGAGACAGACTGGCGAGTAGGTAGCCCATACGTAATTCACTATCGTCGGGTTACGTAACGGAGCTTACGAAGAGAATTCTCAGCCGGTTGAACGGACCTGTGTGCGCGTACGATGTGCGTGTGACGTAAGTACGTGTATTGTACGTACTTGCGCTCGTCACAGTTCCTTCTGTCTCCTTCTGCCATGCACGAATCGCACACTCACGCAATTCACCGTGGACACGGGAGGCGATACGTGTGTTACACGCAGAAACGGATGTAGGTGAAATTACACAGGTTTCGGCGAGTAGGTTAGTTGGCGCAGGAGAAAAAAAAAAGAAAGAAAAAGTAATAGAGGTCGAGAGGGGGAGGGTGAAAAATTCTATTAGACGATACGTGTATTGGCAGACATTGCGTGTCAGACGATATATTATACATGGTACGCTCCGTTATATGGTCACCCTTTATCTACGAAGGTTGTTTGCGCGCGCGTCGATGGAAGGATACACCGTTATTCAACGGATTACGTAAAGTATCTGAATAGTTTTACGTCATCGTGTAGAGAAGAATCTGGCCGTGTCACGCGTCGACTACAATGGCGTTATTAAAGCTAAAACATCCTGATTTTCTTCTTCACCGAATGAATCGACCACCGATAAATTAACTCTCCCTCGGAACACGGCAGAAATATTGCTTTATTAAACAATTCCGTTAATTAACAGCGCTCCGAATTTAATTCTTCGTCCATTCCTCGAACTCGACTCCCGCTGGAGAGACTGAAAAATTAAAAAAAGACCGAGAGGGAAAAGCGAAAAAGGAAACAAAGTTCTAAAATAGAAACCGGGAGATTTGGAGGGAGGTCGCGAGGAACAAAAGGTGGGCGAACGCTCTTATGAACGGCTCGCGGTGTGTAACTGTATATACACACACACACACACACACACACACACATATATGTGAGAAGCATATCGGTCTCTTTTACGCGAGCAGAACAAGAGGGTAGGCCGAGTGTGTTGGTGACCTTCGATGATAGCCGTGGGTGGGGAGGTTGGTCGAGTAGCTAAACTACGCTCGGTGGAGAAGGGAAGGTACCGAGAGAGTCGAAGAGAGAGAAGAGAAAGAGAGAGAGAGAGAGAGAGAGAGAGAGAGAGCTCGAGAAGGATCGAGAGAAACAGAGGAGAACGGGTCGGTAGGGAGACCCAGTTCGAGTTTGTTGAACCGGCCCGCCGGCGATTGGCCACACGAGTCGCGGAGTTCACTCTACTTGCCGAACGGAGGTAGGAGAAGGCGAGAGGAGGCAGTGGGGCGAGAGGTGGCAGGCCGCTCGGTTAATTTCATCTTGCCCCAGTTACGGGCCAGGCAGGGTGAACGAACTAGCCTCGCGCCAAGGCCCCACCGACCTACTTTCCTGTTCTACGGACCGTCGTGAGGGAAAGAGAGACCGACTCACTCTCTGTGCCTCTCTGTACAACACCGCGGCGAGTTCACGACGAGTTCAGGCCAAACAGAGAGAGACGAACTCTCGAGCTGCGAGAACGAGAGGATACGTGGAAGCGCTCGAACGGGACAGAAACAGAGAGAAGAAGAGAGAAAAAGCGAGAGGGTGAGAAAAGGAGGGAGAGAAAAAGACAGACAGAGAGAGAACGAACGCGTGCGTGTGTATATCACAGAGAGGGGGAGGGCAGTGAACACTACATAGGGTGGGAGCCCCACTAGAGAGGCTCACTATCTAGGCTAGAACCACGAGCAAAAAGAAGAGAGGGAAGATCGAGTCACGCAGGTGGAAGAGAGACAACGAAAACGAGAAACAGAGAGGGGGAGAGAGAGAGAGAGAGAGAGAGAGAGAGAGAGAGAGAGAGCGAGAAATTGCCAGAGCGCCGAGTGGAAGGCCGCCGACCGAGGGCAACGAACTAGCCTCGTCCCGGGCCCCGCGACCTACATTCCAACCCCGCTGGAAAGTGAAACCGCCTCTTTCTCTATTCCTTCCTACCTGAATCGTAATCTACGCTAGGTTAAGAATGTTTTTACCAGCCTGTCCTCTCCGTGACAGATGGACATGGCCCTCCGTCAGATACACACACGCGACCCTATGATCGATTCGAAATCGAACGGTCGCGTACGAGAGCGGGAAAATACCTACTCTCCCTTTCGTTTCGATTCACTCCGTTTCATTTCATATCGCGTGCATCGGGATGAAACTTTCTTTTTTTCCTTCATCCGTCGTTCGACGAACGAGAAACTTCTGGACGAGAGCTCACGCGCGCTCGAGGATGGAGATGCTCAAAACTCAGTTACTCACCGGCTAAAACACGTCCCAATAGATTCTCGCTATCCTGGGGCGCACCACGATAACAGACCTGGGCCGATTGCTCCTTGTCGTTGTCCAACGGCTCGCTAGACGGTGAAAGAATGTCACCGGACGGCTGTTGTTCCTCGGCAGCACCGCCACGAGGCTTGAACTCTTGCACGGTCATTTCTCGTCACGACGGTCCGCCGCGATTCGTTACACTCTCTTCTTCAATTTCTTCCCCCCTGTTTCTTTTCCTTTCTCTTTCCTCTACGATCGTAAACTCGACGTACAAGCTGCACGATCTCATCAACGAAAATCTCGTTCCGCAATAGTCCTACCAACGACGTCACGTGCGAGCAAGCCTGTGGATGGCATAACAGGAATTTTTTTTCCACCGCGGACCCACGTTCAAATCGAACCGCGCGAAAACGTCGAGAACGTTGCTGCTTCTTTCATTCTCTCACTCTCTCTGTCTCTGTCTCTGTCTCTGTCTCTGTCTCTGCCGTGATTGACCACGAGACACCGGGCGGGAAAACTCGCGAGTTTGTTTTGGAGTCAGTTCTGTCCACGCTCGCGCGAGTAACAATCCCTTCCCCCTCGGGAATTCCGGTTTTTCTCCAGTTTCCCCGAACGGCACACTTTCCCCCCTCGCGCGCGCAACGACACGACTACCGCGAAACCGATAAAAGTGGCTGTTGCTTTTCCTATGGCGACCGCGTGGCCCCTCGCGGTAACTGCAAATCGAAGCTTGCACGTTATTAGTTGATGTGTTGTGTGTGGCGTGCGATGCGGTGCGCGAGTGAGTTCGTCGCGGCGCGGCGTGCCGCGGCTTCGCGGCGCCTGCGCCGTCCACCGCCGATTCACATTCGCGTAGCGGTCCGCGCTGGCGCCCCGCTTGAAATTCGTTCGCTTCGCTCGTAATTTATTTATTTGCCACGTTTTGATACACAGCCGCGTCGTAATCGCGTTGTCTGAGACAATATTTACTCGAGTCTAACGTGAAATTTCTACTCGATATGTGTGTGTGTGACAAATCATGTTCTCTGAATAAAAAAAGTTATCGTACAAACTACTCTCTGACCTTTATTTTATGCGTGTGAGTTTCAATAATTTTATGAACTTGTCGACAACTGTCGCTTCACATTGACGACGCGCGAATCTAGTTAGATTTTTATAATTCAAAGGGACGCGTCGCGCGACTACGGTTATACGTGCATGCATAAAGGTGGGGTTATTTGCGAATCAATTTAAATATTCAGTTCGAAGTCACGTCCGATAGATTTGAAATTGGAGTAGCATGTGCCCGAGGAAGTTACGCTCGAGCAACACGTCATTCTATTTACTCCACCGAGCGGAGAATCCTCGTTAATCGACCCTCGGCCCCGGTGCGGATTTCGTTTCGCGAGGAAACGACGGGGGAAAAGAGGGAGAGAAATTTTCGGTGTGACAACGACAATGAGACAAGCTTATCGGTATTGAGCGACGATGGTATCCTCGAGGCACGATCGGCTCGTTCCTATGGCCAATTGGCACGGTTGACCCGTCATTAGGATCAAGGATTTTTATCGGCAGTGCGAAGAGGCTCGGCCTAGCCTTTATTATGCGTGCACGCGTGCACACGAAGAAACCGCGTCGTAAAATCACAGGCTATAACCGCACGGAGAGAACAAAAGTAAATTTGTAGTCAAGGATCACCATGAAATCCGCGGTCCTATTTTACACGGTTTCAACCTCGCGCCAAATATACCTACTCAGGCTAACATGAAATTTCACGTTCCAACGACAAATGGCGAACATTAGGGTCATGATTAAGGCTTCGCATGTATAGCCTCTCGTCCAATAAAAGCTACGGATATTTACCATCGCGAAACAAAATTAGGTATATCATCCGTTCAATTGTACGTCAACTCTCCATCGTCGTAACAAGGAACCATTTTGATTGTTCTATATTACGTTAATGATCGACACACTGCAAAGACACATCGATATAGCGCTGACAATAAAATTTTATAAATTAGCGCAGTTGGACGTTGGTCTAAAATATAAACTCGTTTTGGTAATACGAAAAGAATATCGTAATAACGAAACATTTCATTCTTTCACCCTTCAACGATCCTACGATGAAACATTTTCTTTCCTTCGTCCATTTCCTTGGATCCATCTTTGACCACGTTATTAATATTCGTTCGGACGGAGATTCGTTCAATTTTGTGCGGCCGCGGGAAGTTAAAAGACATTCGAGCATACGCCCCTGATCGGCGTGTGATACAGAATCGGAGAATATAGCGCGTTCCTCTGACATGCTGTGTTGACTCACTAACACTCGGAGAGTGAAAGCTGTTTAACCCCGTGTGACAGGCACGTACACTGGTATGTACACAGTATCAAACGTAGCAACGTCCGTGTGGACGTGCCTTCGCACACACAGTTCCATCGAACACGTGGCTCACGTCTACGGCAAGTAGAAGTTAGATCACAGGTGAGAGGGAACACGTACCTAACCAAGCCTTCCTAATTCGGCTCCCACCTAGATCGGGACTAACCTGCCTCAATCGTAGCCCAATACACCGTTGCCTCTGCTTCTATTATCTAACGTCATCGTGCCTCTTGTTGAATTTCGAGTTGCGTCTTACGGTGACAAACGACGCGTTGTTTTCTCTCTTCCAAATCTTTTTTCCCCAGCTACGTCTGCTCAGAGCGTGCTCTTGCGCAACAATTTATCAAGTACCGAGTTACCAGTAAAATCGGCAAGCAGATTTTATAACTGAACCGCAAGTTCACCGCGTCGTGCTAATCAATTACGTAATTTGCGATTTGTGAAATTGAGCTTCTGTTCTGTTACTAAATTTGTTCTTTTATTGGAGGTGGTAACCTGTATTTTATTTTCTGACCTGTTCAATTCTATTGATAGTATCGGTTCAGTTGTGCAAGAAGCGAGGATGGGATAATTAATCGAACATCGCGTGGCAAATCGTTTTCTTTCACTTTCGACGGAATTTGATGTAGACAAGGACAGTTGATTAGTAGAAGTACGAGTAGTAGACAAGAGCACTCGGAGGAGTTATCAGGAGAACAGTTCGTTATCAAAAGCGAGACTCGCACAAGTGATCGGTGATGCGTTTATTTGAATATCAAAGGTCAGCACGTGTCAACGATTATCGGAGAATCTTTAGATTATTCTGTGTTTCTTTCCTTTGTTTGATTTCTTTTTTTTTCTCGTTTTATGAAATTTATAATTCCCCGTAATTGATCACCTTTTGCTATTCATTTTGATTCGATTCTCGCCTCTTTGTTTCTTTGTATCTTACTGTGTCGTCGTGCCGTCATTCGCCAATACTCGACGAGATTCGAGATTCTTCAATTAACTGATTTAAATAATCTTTGTAACTGAAATGACTCGCTTTTTACAAATTTTTTTTGTTACATATTGTATTGTGTGATCTTGGCGTAAAGGCGAGTTAATTCCGAGTAATAAGTAGCAGGGATGATAATGTCGCGTTTCGAGCAACGCCTCTTGTTAATTGCATTCTTGTCGATTCACTAAAATTAGAGTCTGCCTCCTTGTTGCAACAGTTTCTTCAATTCCCCCTGTTCTTTTTCCCCTCCCCCCCGGAATGAATTTCGCCCCGATCAAGTGCCACTAACAGTTAGATCTAAATTGATGCAAACTGGGCGCAGTCCAAGTCTAACCTGCCCTAACTACGGGCCTTGAATAAACGGTTAGTGTGACGAACTGGTGCCTGGTCTAACGGGAACAATTCTGGCGCCACTTGGATTCCTTTCTGAATCGAACCTCCACTCTCGCTTTCGTTTCGCTCAGGTTTCCTCATCTTGCTTTTCATTAAATTTCAATCAATCTGCAGTTATAAAACTGGACTGTTTCATTTGAATTCTGCACATATATGTAGAAAGAGAGAGGGAGAGAGAGAGAGAGAGAGAGAGAGAGAGAGAGTTGAAGATGTTAACTGGCACGGAGGTCGACGATGAGTCGTTCTAGATTTCCGGTGACGCCATAGTGGTCTCCGGTGACGACACACGATGTCGCAATTGATTAGAATGTTTACATTGGATAAACACAGTCGTATTTGCGAAATTTAAGATATTTTTAGTCTTAAAGCGGTAATATTAAAATAGAAAGGCTCGAACAATCTTCTTTTCTGAACGACGGATACATTATCGTTGAAAGTACCGAGAATCCTACTTTTTTATCACATTTCTTGAAAATATTCGTGCCCTTTCTAATCACTAGATTGTAATCTCATCACAATCATAGTTGTAAGAAGGTTTACAACGACTCGCAATTGTTCTTTTACACTCGTTCTCCTTTCAAACGATAAAACACGTGAATAATTATACTAACTTGCAAGTTACAAGTGTAAATATTAATCCTTCGCCAAGAACGAAGTTCTTGCGCCGTTCTGAAATAATTTCTGTGAAAAACTGAATCAGAAATGGACTTGTTTATGTTATGCAGTTTCTGAATTTAAACACGTCTTATCGGACGATTGGTAGTAGATTAATTTTTATTGAAATAGGACAAGAGTCAGCGGGAGGTTAATTGCTTTTACTCGAAGACTTGAGCGAAGTGATTCGTGCAATTTTATCGGGCGACTTCTCTCCGCGTCTAGATCATGGTCATCGTGTAAATCCGTTAAACGGTTCGAATTGGACATATTACTATAGACTGTCAGACATACGACGTGGCTATTCTAAATATAATCGAAGCTCGACCTACCCTAACTGCGGCTCGTGACCATAGAGACACGCCATGATTGAGCTCAAACGTTCAAGGAGATTAGTTTCCAACCGCGACTACAGAGCCCCCTGTGTTCCACGTCGCTTTGAGCTTCGATTCTATGATACTTGATTCTTGAAAACGTATTATAGAAAATGCTCGTGAACAATAGCCACTTTCGATCAATCTGATTTCAATAGAAAATGGGGATGCTCAGTTCGTAGAGAAATGTTTTATTTACATTAATAAAAAAATTTATTTGTCACAGCCTTAATTTATTAACTCTGATACGTGTAGTATAGTACTCTATTATAACGAGGTATTTTTTTATTTATTTCTAAAAGACGAGACGTTCCTCGTCATTTATAGTTTCCTAACGTGAAACGGAATAAATGATTGATAAATCAATGAAATCGTCTTAGCCATATTTTCTAAGTAGAGTGAGTGCATAATGAAATGTTATTGGTAGTTTTCTGCCCTGAAATATCTTGCAAACTTTCAGTGATGATTAAATCCGGCAGAAAGCATCTAATACCTTGAACATTATCAACTATCATTAATACGAAATCGTAATATTACAATAATAATATATTATAATAATACAGAAACTTAATTCGCGAGGAACTTCTGCAAGTTTCATAACGCTACAAATAAAATTCTCCGTCAAGTTCGCGCTAAAAACTGAGGAGAAGTAAAAAGTGAGAATGTCGATAAAGGTAAAGAACATCGATATGCTTGTCTCCGAGCGTTCGTTTCGCGTTCAGAGCGGCGAGAATCGAACCACTGCTACCTTGAATCCCCTTTGTGCGAGCAACGGTGAAGATTTATCACTAGCTGGAATCCCGACGGCGGACCGTGTAATCGACCTAGCCGTGTCTACCTGGAACACCTGTTAGAGCTAATCTCCTCGTTCGACGAGGAGTTTGATTGCAACGAAAGAGGGAAAAAAAGAAGAAGAGAGTCATAAGATTTCGTTGGCAAACAGAAGAGGAGGAGGAGGAGGAGAGAGAAGTTCTCCTCAGTGAAAGAAATTTTCTAGCAAAGTTAACACCTCGACTTCTCCAGTCGTTTGTAAACTTCGTTCTAGATCTTCGTTCTGTCATCGGACGGAAATAAAAGGGAAGAAAACGCAACCCGGTTTCTTTTTTTTTTTTTTTTTTTTTTTTTTTTTGCTTTTTCTTCTTTTTTCTTTGGTTTCGTTACCTTTTTCTGTTAATCTACGCACAGTCACACGTATGTATTAATCTCCAGAACCAACGGTGCAGTCGGTGTAACCATGTATCCGGGAACGGATACGCGAGAACAGCGAGAAACTGGAAAAAACACGGAGACAGGAAGACGGATTTTTCATTCTTTTTTTTTTTTTTTTATGTATATATACATATATATATGTAGCATATATATATATTTTCTTCATTTTTTTTTTTTTTTTTTTTTTTTTCGGAGACACTATTCTCCAATCACGNAAAAAAAAAGGAAAAAAAACCCCCCCCGTTTTTTTTTTTTTTTTTTTTTTTTTTTGTTCGTAGGAAATAAATAGGAATAAATCGCGATAATTTATATATTACAAACTTATTTATAATATATTATGTATTACAATGTCGATAAAGGTAAAGAACACCAGTATTGTAATACATTATGTATTATAAACGATAGACCGTCGATAAGTGTTTGATAGGATTTTGGAAAGTTCATATTCAAGTGGAAGACGAGAATGGAGATGAATAATCCTCGAAAGCAGAAGATACTGTGGAGAAACAGAGGGGGGATAATTGAAAGATATTAATGATGGAATTTCACGCGATAAGATAGCGTATAGATGAATCGATACGATAATGAGTGCTGAATCAACCTTCCTCAATGTCCGATTGTTGATTGCCCCGTCTTCTTGCGCACGTTGACATGTTCGATTGATGTAACGTGTAATATTAATGACCAAGATTATTTTACTTAGATTTATCTAGTACGATTTTCATTCCATCAATACTTCGCTTTTAGGTCAGCGGAGAGATGATGAAATAAAAATTTGCTTCTGGAGAACAGTTTTTTCGTGTACCAATATTTTTAAATATTAAACATCCACACTTTCTTTGAGAACTAAATATAATATCAATTTCAAAATTTCGTCCCGTATTTTTTATTTATTCTTTGTCTTTTGTAAAGATTTGTTTCTGTTCGCTCGCTACGATCTATATCTTTACATTTAATGAACTTTCAATTTCAGATATATACGTTTAACTTGTACCGATAGAAATAAATTTCTGTTTGCAGCTTTAAAAACAGAATGAAGAATTACTTGAATCAATGTATAATATTATTAATTTCAAATTTAAAAAAAAAGGGAGTAATGGCTCTCTAGCGATCCGCTCACTGTTTAAAAGAACGTGTGCAACTTTGTCTATTTAAAATAAAAATTATCCTAGGTAGAACAAATCTGTAAAACGCTCGATGAAGGTTGAAATAATAGCGAGGTTGTCTAAAGTGATTTTCACAGTTTGGCTAGAGTCGCCAAGCCGGACTTTTCGAGGATGGGCAAATTTTCCACACCCACCAGGGGAGTAATTCACTCATAGTCATCAGGTAGAAAATTTACGAACAGCGACAAGAGTCGAACGGTTACGGGGTTGCGGCCAAAACTTCATTTCTGCGGTTTTTGCACTGTGACGCACCGTGCAACATAAATTTCGAGACTAACGGTGGTCACGTTACGCACCTGTAAATCACCCGAAAGATTTTCGTCGCTCCACACCGGAACAGATTCGATCTCCGCTGAGAAAACGGACATATATTCTTCTCCACGGCTTAAACGGAGAATTTTCAAGGATTCTCGCCATTTTTTGTGCTCGTTTCTTTTAGGGTCACAGGCTGTGACGTTTCTTTTGTAAGTAAGAAAAAAGAAGAACGGAATGGTATGTAATTATTTTACATCTATAGAATTATGACGATTATAATGATTTCAGTATTGTCAGCTTTAGTATTGGCCATGATGACATAATTACAATATGTTAGTACTTTCTACGTGCGATTAGAAGGGAAAATTTTATTGAAATAAAGGTACAACATAACATTTCCAAAAATATTTTGAAAATACGATGGCAATTTTCGATAAAAAATTTTCTCCAATTTATTAATTACTCATTTACTTACTTTAACAGACCAATACAGTTTAACCAAGAATATACAAAGTTTTTAGAATTCTCGTTATAAATTTTGAACGACCACATTCGGCCTTTGAAAATTTGATAAATTAACAAGAAAAGAGGAAAAAATATATCCATCAATACATTGTCGACTCTCCTTCAGCCATCAATTACCTTACTTAGAAGAATCTGTAGTTTTGAAAGTAAAAAGATCCAATTGCCCACGGAAGCTATGTAAGCGCACGTGTACACGCACACGAGTTGCCCACGTATCTATCGTTGCGGTGAGGAGAGGGAGGGACAATTTTATTGCATTCTGATGCAGGCCTACTTGCACCGAGACAATAGTCCCAGGCAGATATGCAACCGGCCACGACAGATATGTCGGTGCAACATACTCGTAAACTCGCGTGGGACTTCGTCTTCTCCTCGGTTGCGACAGCTACCTACCGGTCGAGGGAATTTTTGACGAGCAGGTTGCTTGCGCTTTCGATTCCCGCCGGTTCCGCTGTATGGGAATACAAAAAAAAAAAAAAAAGAAAAAGAAGAAGAAGAAGAAGAAGAAGAAGAAGAAATAGAGTTGCAACTGCGTTCGTGTCGAAACCTGAACGTCTTCAAATCCCATGCCAGCCGGTATAAAGATGGCAAAGGAGAAAAGGTATTATTAACACTAGAATTATCGACGACTAACGCATAAAATTTCCATCAGTAAAAGAAACAGAAAATCTTTATAATACAATAAGGTACACAAACTTTTATTCATATACTTTACGAATCTCCAAAGATACATCATTTTATATCTATAAAATATTCAAACGGTCATTTTGACCATTTTCGTGGTTCTAGTGTTAACAAGTACGATGATTGGTAGGATTAAATATCGTAAAATGAAATGGTTCGTGATCCATGAAAATTTGAAACCAGTTTTATAAAAAATAAATAATGAAATATAAAAGGCGATTATGTAACAATCTAAGAAATAAATATTCAACTTTATTTCTAACCACCATCTCCTACAAAATCGTACTCCCCAGTCCAAAAAAAAAAAGAAAAAAAAAAGAAGTCTATCCACAAATATCCCCAAGCGCGGTAAAACGCGTGACTAACGCCGAACGGGAAGCCAGCGAAGAATTTAGAAACCGAACAGCGACCCACTGGGTCGTTGTTGCGCCAAGGAGAATTAAGACGGTCGCTAAAAATCGTACGGTGCCGGTTGGAACCAGTTGCGCGGCTATTCATCCTGGTTTTGCATCAGCACGGTTCATTTATCAAGCCCTGTATCCAAATTAACCAGCGTCTAGCAGCGACAATGGCTGCCGCGCGGTTGCTATCGTGATACCGCATCGGACCACCCGGGGCCAACGCGAGGCTTTTCGCCCGCGAAAACAACGACAATCGTATCTGCGTACAGTCGAGCCACCGCGAACAAACCATAAAATTGCCCGGTCCGCATAAATCCGCGGATCGATCGGCCGATAAAGCCGTGGCTGGGCCTGGCAATCACCCGGTGAAAACGCGTGCCTCTTACGACAGGCCCCGGTGAACGAGACGCCCAGGGGTGAAGGAACTTTATCTGACTGTCTCGACTATCCGCACGGTAGCGTAACGCCGCTGAGAACCGCGTTTCCGCGTTTCTGCCCCTCCTTTCGCGCTCTCTTGCGAGATCGGTTGCCAGACTCGTGAACGATCGTGAGATCTGTCGGGCGAATTGATACTTTTTTTTTTTTTTTTTTTTCGGTGGGAGACAGTTGCGGAAATTTGTAGAACTACTGGTTCGGGGATTGCGAGGAGGTGAAGAGTCGGGAAGTTCTCTGCAGGGGAATTAGAAAAAGTTGGAAAATATAGAAAACGATCATAGTAATCATAAATAATTAAAATAATCAAAATAATAATCAAAATAATCGTAAATAATTAAGTCAAGGTGAAAATTTCATTAGACAGATAGTTTATGTATATTATATGACACACGATATATATAAAGTGTAGAACTGTAAATGAAATACATTTCGTGTTGAATTAATTAATTAATTGGTAATAATCTATTACTGAAATTAAATTTCGAAACCCCTCACGAATATCGAAGTATTCCAAGCGACTTCTCGTGGTCATTAAATATCGAACGTGGAGACCGTTATGTTCCAACGAAATGGCAAAGTGCAAGGAACTTCACCCGTTAGAAGGTGATCTCTCGAATAGTTTATTCCCAACGAATAGAAATAGCACGCGCTAAATGGAATTTACGATTCCCAGGTGACACGTTGGAAATTCTCAATTTTCACGCGAGATGAAGCTCCATTTAGACATGAAAATTCGCGAGGGTGTTAAATTTGAGGGAAACGACGCGAGTTGACAGTCTAACTTCAAATGCAGATATTCTTGAGAAGCAAATCCGTAACAACTCGTAACTGGAACTTTTGGCCGAATTATGGCGAACAGCTATCGAATTTTCAAAGAAGTGAGACAAGTATCTTCGTAGCGGAGAAATGAGACTTGTTGCTTCGCTTTTCGAAAACCTGGCGGTGAATCTGTCTATTATCAACGCCACCGAGCGAATTAATCGAGAAAAGAGGAAAGTGAATTTAACTTTCCATTTATGCGTCCTCGTGGTCTCGATTTGTATTAACGCATGCATCGCGAAAGAAAGGATTGCGCAAAGGCTACAAAGGTTGTTTTCTCGCTTACGTGAAAGTGATGACTTAATGCGTGTATTGAAACATGCTGTGTGAAAGAACAAACAGAAAAAAAGATGTGAAACACCATAGAAAGATAAGAAGCACTCGCGTTACGATATAAAAGGATTATCCTCATCTATATAATTTTTCTACGAATTTCTACGAATCATTGTTCGTAGCAATCAAAATATTCGCCGATTCGCCAGTGTCGTTGTCTCATGTACTTTAACATTCGCAAATACAGTGAAAAGAAAAAGTCGCAGAATCCGCTAATCACCATCGATGTTTCGCGCGCGTAACATTATCGTGGCAACGGCCATCGATCTGTTTGCGCCTCTAATTTAATATATTCCCACGAGCGGATCGCGCGGCGCAGAGAAAAGAGAGCGCGAGGCAGCCGGCAAAGTTGCGGAGGTGTTTCGAAAACACGTTACGCGTCGCGTAATCGTTTGCTCTCGCACGAGAGCGAGATGCAGCCTCGCCGGTTGCACATACAGTTGCTCAATGAGCCGCGTTGGTATGTAACGCCGGTCACCGACTCTCCACGTTCGGCCAACGTCGTCCCGATCTATCGACCGAACGCCACGCTCTTATGAAATTCAAATTTCCCGCCGCTCGGTAACGAGACCGCCTTATTCTACCACGGCTCGCAATTATCCACCCTTCGATAGTTCAAGTTTCCATTAACGTTTCTTATAACGAGCGAAATGCGAAAAAAAAGATTCGGCGTTATTATGAATTATTAATACAAGCGATGTCAATTCTCGAAATTTTCGAACGAGCTACGATGCTTGATATTATATATATATATATAGCATAAATTTTTATATTCAAATTGTACATTAAATTAAATGGTAATTTGCATTTTCAAAGCAAGCAGAGATAACAGATAACAAAAATTATGAAACGTAAAATCCTTTCCAGTTTCCCTTCATTCAATCAATGAATAAGGATTACAAAAAACGACATGGATTTCTTATGCTACATAGTAAATTACGTAGTAGTTTGTACTCATTTTTTAAAACAAATGAAAATTAATAAACAATGAAACTATAAAACTATAAAACTCAAGCACTGACACAAAAGTCCCATGTAATATCCCTTTTCAGTGTTCTATTATCTCTTTCTTCATCTAACCAATGAGCAACCAAGGATCGCGAAAACGAAATGAAGACTGTGTAAAGCGTGAGCGAATGAAGATCTCAAGGGAGACGAGGAGCTAGATCGATCACCCTTCAGCGTTATCCCACGAAATCGGGCATCCGGTCCAAGTCCATCCATCCGTCTGTCTGTCTGTACGTCCGTCAGCGGCCCCGTACTTTGCCTCGTTTCCAACTTTGGATGTAGGCTACACTTTCCCGGCTCGATCGTTCCAGTCAACCTACCTCCGCCAGGCAGGCCTACGCTTCCACTTGCTTGCGAAACAGGGACGAGACCCAGTTACCCACATTCTGCGCCAGATATTGGCCGGTAATTAAATAGCCGCCGATTTTCCGCCAACCTTTCGCCTTGTAGTTCGCTATCGTCGTAGTTGCCATCGCCGCCAAATATCATTTATTATTGCCCATCCCGCTCTCGGTCGTGTCGATAACGTTCGTTTATAGAAATACGTATTATAACAGGGGGCGAGAGATCGGGCTGCCGATTGAATTTGGAGACAATTGTCGTTCGCGTTCGAGCAGAATTTTTTTTAGTTGCGACGCGATTCAGGAAATGGAAATTATCGGGGCGAGAATTCGATTGAAATTTGCGAACAGCAGAAACTGGATTTGTATCATTATGAGAGAGTTTCAGTGGAATTGTGGATTTTTAAAATGGAAATTGTAAGAATGGTAGGTCGTTTGGTGATAGCAATCATTGGAATAGAGAGATTATCTGACGTGGATTTGGAACGATAGGAAGAACGTTAAAAGCGAGAAGTTAAATTTAAATAAAAAAAAAATACTAGAATAGAAATATTTGAAATATGTACGTATTTTAGTGATAGAGAGTTTTAGAATCTATGAAGACTAGTACAATGGTATAAGAATTTTAAAAAATTTCAAGTAGGTAGGAACTGTAGCAATATTTGAAATAGGAATTTGTAAAATACAAATACCAAAAATAAAGCAAAACCATTTTTATCCAAATTTAAACCTCCCTTATTCCGGTAATTCTTCGACCATCTTAATATTAGAATGATTATTAGAAAACTGGAAAGTAATCTAGGTTCCAAGTAAATCCGAAAACACGAGTAATTAAAACTGAAATACGAGAGTTCTTCTAATTTTTATCGATTCTCAATCTTCTTTGAACATCTTTTTTGTATTTCAATAAACCTCACTTTCCCCTGATATATACTTTCTCTGCTAACTTCCTCTTTCCACGTTCACCGTTTACCAATCATAGTTCCCCTCACGCTGTTCAGCACCCTACGGATAATCATCGAGGTGAAATTCATCAAAAAACGCCGTTCTTACAATTCGAAGATCGTTTCTCTGTATAAACTTTGTTCGTTAATCGATTTGACAGTATCGTTTCGAGTTGGTGTTTCATGGAACGTTTAGATTGCACAAATTCGACGAGAAATGCAAAATATCTAAATTAAAAAAATAAATAAAAAAGAAAAAATTTACCGCGAGGTGCACGCGTGTGGCCAAGCGCTATGCCGATCATGTAATCGCCATCCGCTTTCTAATGCTTCGCGTAATTGCGTAATGTCGTGTGTACATGAGATTAACTTTATTATCGACTTTTCTTACTTTCCTTTTCACTTGCTATATGTAATTTATTAGTTTCGCCAAATATTTATGAGTTTCTCCAATGTTATTGGAGAACTGCGTTCTTTTTTATATAAATGAAAGGTGAATTTTTAAACGAATCAAAAATTTTATTAATCAATTAATATATAGAATTCCGTTTATACGAATCAAATCGATTTATTTGAACCAAATTTTAGCGAATAGGATTAAATAAATCCTATTGATTGAAACCACTTTATTTATTAAATCCAATTATTCGAACCCCGAAAACTGAACAAAAAAATATTAGTTGAGCGAAGAATCAGAGGACTCCCACTATATAAATTATTTATACTCCAACAAGTTCAAATAAATGGAGTTTTATGATGAATAAAGGTAATTTTATTGAATTCTTTCGCAAAATGTAACTTTCTTGGAAACTGATTATTGATTACAACGATTTTCATAAATAAATATCAGTAGAATATATATTTTCATAAATAAATATCAATAGAATTCTGAATGA